CTGGAAGGTTCTGAGCTGTGAACTGTACAGCTGCTGCAAGTACCTTTCAATTCCAGAACTTGAACTGGGTGTGACTGCTCCTGTCAGCCTTTACTTCGGATAGCGAGCTCCATCTAGTGGTTTAGTTGAAACCTCCCATCAAGGAGGCCCCCGTGAATTTGAATGACGGAGAGAGGTGGGATTTAAATATATGATCCGGCTGAAAATCCTTAACTGATCACGAGTAAGATCTATACTGGGAGTGGTGGAAAGGGAACGAGAAGGGTTGATATGGAGCAAATTCTGTCACTGTTGTAGGCCTTGGTACAAATGACTCTCTGAATTAGAATTTAATAATAATCCTTGCATTTGATATAATGCCTTATCGTGTCTTCGAAACGTCTCAAAGCGCTTCACAGAATATACTGTAAAGTGTATTGACTGTATTTTGTGGGTGACTAATTTGAGACAAATGTGTTGTGCTGTTAAGGTCATTCTCCATGTAAATTTCTTTATGAATTAAAGTTATAAAATAACAGTTTGCAAAAGCTGTTGTGGATTTGTTTATATGTAGGTGTAATTATACTACTTTCTGTGCTTGTAAATCTATTGTTAGGTTTCAAAGTACCTTAATACACTTCTGCTGTAGAATTAAAAAAAGGTGGTCTTTTCTGTGAGAGTTGATTTGCCTCCTTAATGCAATGTTATAAAACGTGATGAATTGAATGCATTTCTTGTGTTTTTTAAAAGAAAGTTTCAGAGATGAAATTGTTCAACTAAAATGATGAAACATGGGTTTATAGCAAGACTGTAGTACATCAGGCCTATTTCCTGTGATTATGAATTGTAGTTCTAATTCCCTCCGGATTAGAATTATTAGAATCCTGGCTTTTCAAATGCTTAAAGACCATCACAATTCTAGTTGTAGTCCCACAGCAGCAGTAGTTGCAAGGGAATTAAACTGCATTTGCTTTTAGCATTGCTTTTTTGTACTGAAATTATTCAGTATATTTTTCCACTTAGTGCCAATTATGGTCCAGTACTCCGTAGCAAATGTTCACTTAAAAGCCAAGATGTTTTGCTTGCTCTTCTATGTACTACCTTGCTTTCAAGTCTACACTGTAACGTATGAAATTTAAATATGACTATGTCAACTTGGTACATCCATTTAGTCAGGCATGCAAATCAAATTACTGAGTAATAACAATTACTGTATACATTGGTTGCAGAAGTTAAGACGTTTATTAACCTGATTGGCCAACCAGTAAAACAAAGCTACATTCCTCCAAAAAAACATGTTGTGGAAAAAATAAATTAAGCATAAACCAATCATGTTAATTTAACAACCGCTGAATGGATATTGCGAGAGAAATCCAATGTGATTTGTTCAGAGGAATTTTTCTGTAGCTTGTTTGAAACTGAACATTTAGTGGAACCCTTTTGAATCTATTTGTTCATAGTGGTGAATGATAATATTGGGTACAGTACTTTATGTGGGTGAAGTTCTCATATAAGGGTTAAGGGCACTCGGAAGGTTAAAATAATAATCCTTGCATTTGATATAACACCTTATCACATCTTCGAGATGTCTCAGAATCACGTCACAGAATATACTGTAAAGTAAATTGGCTGTATATTTTATGGACGAAAGGCAGCAGCCAGTTGCTCACTGCAAAATATGTGCTTAATAAGTCACTTGGCTGATGTACTGCTGTTAGTTGTACTTTAAATTCTTTAAAATTGTATAGTCAAAATTCTTGATAAACCATTTATCGTTTCATGTGGAAACATAAATTTGGAGTGAGTTCTTCCTGCTAAGCACTCCCTGACCCACTGTTTTAAAATATACTTAAAAAAACAAGTTTTTTTCTGTTTTTCTTCAAATGCAAATGCATAGAGTACATTAAATCTAGAATATTTCTTTGGGTTTTTCCTTTTATCCGTGTCTTATGGTGGACTGGATTATCGCATCTAAGGCAATAGCTGTTGCTTGACACATTAAATTTTCTAGTATTGTGCAGGCACAGTCTCACACTTGATTTTCAAGCTGAATCTTGTATTTGTAGTTCTGTGTTAATATAGGCATCCCAAAGACAGATCATGTTTGTGCGTCTTCCAGTAAAACATGGAGGGTTTGGAAAATACCTGATGTTTCATAGTACTTTTGAGAAGATGCCTAAAATGCCATTTAAATCCTGATAACTATGGTTCCCTTCCCTACTTCAACTACCAAACTAACACTCCAATGCAGTGGTGGGGAGAAGCTCTTCACAACATATGCTGTAAAGTGCAGTGACAGTATTTTATGGATGAAACCGACAGCCAATTTGCCAACAGCAATTTTCCACAAAAAGTCATATGAACAGTTTTATTTGGGGATGGTTAGTCAGGGCACTTGGAAAAACTGCCTTTGCTTTTCGAATAGTGCAGGTGTGTTGCATTGTCAGAGCTGCCATCCTTCAGATGAGATGTTAAACCAAGGTTCAGGTGGATGTTAAAGATCCTGTGGCAATATTAGAAAAGAGAAGGGAGTTTCTCTCTCCCGGTGTCCTGGCCAATAATTCTTCAAATAAAATTGGTCACTCCCCATGACTGTTTGTGGGACGTTGCTCTGAGCAAATTGGCTGCCGCGTTCCCTCACAGATACAGTCACTTCACAGTAAATCCTGTGAAGCGCTTTGAGGTGGCCTCCCGATGTGAAAGGCGCTGTACCAAAAGCCAAGGATTATTGTTACCTGACAGTTTCTGAATGCTGATGCATTGCTGCTGGCACGGTTGCTGTGGGAGTTCCTCATAGTGACTCTTGCTGTTGCAGCAAGGTCTGGTTTTCCTTATTTGGAATTAAATAGAATTACAATGAATGAAACAGGCCATTTGGCCCAACTAATCTGTGCCAGTGTTTATACACCACATGGAGAAGTCGGGGTAAGCTGGCAAATACCTGTAAGAACAACCATCTTGACTTTATGCAGTGTGCTAATCTGAAGTACTCTAAATTAATCCAGGTTAACAATTATAATAATCCTTGGATTTGATATAGCGCCTTAGCACGCCTTCAAGACGTCTCAAAGTGCTTCACAGGCAATACTGTGAAGTGTAGTGACTATTTTGTGGGCCAAACGCGGCAGCTAATTGCGCACAAAATATTCATTTTTAAAAATGAATTGAAAAGACTTCAACAAATATTCATAATTGTCACACTTCAGGTTATGGATATCCTTTCTCTGTACAATATAACGTTTATTCCCTCAAAAGATTTAAGCATATGAAACAATGTAAGTAGTTTAAAAATGGACCTGAAGAGGTTAATGGATACCATACATTATATGGTAATGCTTCAGCTGCTTAACAAGGCCAGGCTTATTAATGACTGCAAACCATTTGCCTAATATCAGCATTTGCTGTTGAAACCTAGATATTCAAAACCAATTCAGAATATTGAATTATCATAAAGAATTTAAATGTTTCATTTGAGGTCCCTGTGGGTTGCACCAGTTTGTAACTCATTTCTGTTTTGGGGTGAATGTAAAATGTAAAGATGATTCTGGTAGACAGCAGTTTAAAGTCATTTTGTTGAGTCCTAATTGGTGACTTTTTTTTAAAAGGGGGGAAAATATGTTTCTTTACTTGGATTGCAGAAATGGTTCAGTGAGTGAATGCATTGCTTGGTACACTGAACCATTCAGTTCAGGAAGTTTCCAGCTTCTGTCCCAGTGATCTGAATGAAGTGATTTTAGCTGAGGTGGCTGTGAGGTTGTTACAATGGTGCCCATGTCCCTGGGATGGAGAGAAAGCTTGACCTGTAGCTTGGTGGTTAGAGCACTCACCTCACAAACCAGAGGACCCGGGTTCGATTCCCGGGCAGGGCAAAACATTGGGCAAATTTCCTTATTCCACATGCCTGTTTACCTAGTAGCAAATAGGAACCCAGTTGTTTGTAGACTGGTGGATCCCTTTTTCATTTCAGTTGTTCCTTCAGTTGTAAGATTTTACTTCAAAGTGGTTTGTATTTTTATAATCTCTTCAAAGAAAAATAATAATTTGGTCATGCAATCCTGTTTTTAGGACACTGCCTGCCATGTTTCACCCACAAAATATACCGTCAGTTCACTTTACAGTATATTCTGTGAAGTGCTTTGAGACGTATCGAAGACCTGATAAGGCGATATATCAAATGCATGTACAGTAGAACCTCACTAATCAGCTCACTCAAGTGACTGAAAAAGTGGCCGCAATTGTAAGATGACTGGTTTACCGAGGTGACCACAAACCAGGTTTTTACCGTATTATTATTGACCAAGGTTCTTGCATCTTACTAGCCAATGAACCTGGTGTGACTGTTGAGTGAGGACAGTTGAAAACGGTGTGTAAACTGACTGTTGCATTCTCCTATAAAATACACAGTCACCACACTTTACAGTAAATCTTGTGAAGGGGATTGAGACATTCCCCCCCCACCCCCAATATGAAAGGCATTATATCAAGTGCAAGGATTATTGTGTTATTCTTTTAAAAAGCTGATAATTGCGTTACTTAATTCGGCAGACTATGTATGTCTCTATCCAGAATGTTTAAAAAGTGAGTCAATCACATCTGCCACTGCACAATTTTTCCTTCTTGGAAAACTGGGCAAGACTGCAGATGAGTGGAAGTAGACATATGCAGCCCCAATCAAAAGGGTGGTCTCTTTGGAAGAATAGCAGATATGCCTCTCCACTTTACGAATAAGATGAATTTTGGCAGGATTGCAATCATATCAAAGCAGATTAAGACTCCCATCTCCTTCTCAATTTTACAAACTTTCCATTCTAGTATTTTGAACACAATTGGTCTCGCTTACTGTGTTCAGTGAATACCTGGGTATTTCATGAGCTAATTTATTTTAGATACTGGGCATAACCATTTCACTACCGCATAAAACCGGACATTAACTTTTTTATTTCAATTGCTCTTCATTTGTAAGATTTCACTTCAAAGTGGTTTGTAATTGCATCTTTTTAATGGAAATGTTTGTTTGATAGGTTCATTTGCTCAGACACGGATTAATTCCTCATGAAATCTAATGGAAAAACTGCTGGCTTGTAGGAACAATTTAGAGTGGAATTGCTGCTTTATAGGGAAGAAGCCTTGCCCCACATTGCAACTGACCTATTATTGAATTACCAGATGTAAGTACTTCTGATGATCAAGGTTTATTTGTTTTGTAGTTAAGCATTGTGACCCTTTGTAATGAATGTTCATTATTGTGAACAATATTTGTACATTAGAATATACTGCACAGAAACAGGCCATTCGGCCGAACTGGTCTATGCTGGTGTTTATGCTCCACATGATCCTCCTCCTGTCTTCCCTCAACTAGGCCTTCAAGCATAACCTTCTGGGTTATGTAGCATGTTGAACAATGCTACATAATAACTGTACTCCCAAGGAATTCAATAGATTTCCTCGTTAATTATATAATGAGTATTAGATAAGTGAGTTACCTGTGAATTTCAACTATTTTGCCGGTTGAGGCTGTGGACTGGGATTAAACTAAGAATCTACATGGTTCATGTAAAGAGCTTTGATGTCTACTTGAAAAATGCCAAATAAGTGCAAATTGCTGCTATTAGGGTTTACTATATTAGCAATTGACTAGTGAAAGGAACGATCTGGTTGCTTTTTTTTCCCCCTCTGTAGGGACGAGTTCAGAGAATCTGTAAGCTCTGGCTATTTTTAAATTATTAAGGTGCAGACTGTGATGCTAGGAAATCGCTTAGACAGCTTGGTCCAACTGGTAGCCTTAATAAATGTTTAGAAAATATATGCGTGTCCTTCTATTTTTGACTTTTTAATTATGTTTAAACACTAATCTGTTCTGTACGTACCTTGCCGATCTCGGTGGCACTAACATGGTAAATTTTTGTATGGTTGAAAACCAGTTCTCTAGAATATTTCATCTAGTTGTGTTATGGGAGTGACACAGGCCAAATGCACATCTATTTGGGTGGGGGGGGGGTGCAGAGTGGAGGGGGAGCAAAGTTCTTCTCGCACTTTTTGAGAGTTTGTTGGCAGTGTAGCCATTAGCAGCAGTCAAAGGAACAATATTACAAAAATGTGGACCATGTTAACCCTCAGTATTCTCAATCAATTAATTCTACATCTTAGCAAAACAAAAAAAAAAGCAACCGACTCTATGAATAGCAACAAATTATATTTATATAGCGCCTTTCACGTCGGGAGAGCGTCCCAAGGCCCTGGACGGTTAAGGGCTTGCAAGAAGGTTGGAGGGTATGGGGAGTACCTGTGAGAGTGTGGCTGAAGGCACGGGCAAAGAGGAAGGTCTTGAGACGGGCCCTGAATGAGGCGAGGTTAGGGCCGAGGTGAAAGGACTGGGATGGAGTTCCAAAGGGTGGGAGCAGAGAGGCTGAAGGCAGAACTTCCGATGGTGGGCAGGCAGGGCTGGGGACATGGCCAGAGTCCACTGAGTGGAGGAAGTGGACAGGACGATATGGAGCAGCAAAGCAGTAGCACAAGAGGTGACTTTGGCATCAGTCATTTAGTTTTTCTCCTACACATTGACGGGAGCTGGCAGGTGATGACTTGATCTATGCTTAGCACTGTGCCAAGGCAATGTGATTGCATCAGTATCACAGAAACGAAGGGTTGAATCTGCCCCCTAAACCTCCATGCAGTTTACACTTTTTTGCTTTTCTTTCCCTCTCTTCCTGGAGGTATCGCTGACTTTGTTTGTGCTGGTTAAGGTCACTCAAATTCTTAGTGTAACCTGAGACAGTTAGCCTTCACAGCAACCTTTTTGGTTGGCCAACAGAATAAAATAATCATTGAATATTGTTGATTAATGGCAAAAATCTATGTTATTGTGTTATTTCTATCAAGAAACATTTATCTTGGTGGCCACACGAGGCTGCAGAGGGTATCACAGCCGAACTCGTTCACAGCCAAGTTCCAATCTGCTGAGTATAGGGGTGGATGGATGGATGGCAGTTGGAAACAATAGCTGTAGCTATTCTCTTCATACCTCCCCCGGACCCCACCATCCCGGGTCAGGGTCATTCATACCAGTTGTGGCACCTCCGCTGAGTTCAGCTGAATCGGTACAAATTGGGAATTTAATCCAAGATGCGTTGCTTTGAATGGCTTTACCTGGGTGCTGCGCTGCCCTTGGGGAACCTTCAGTTAAAATGTAGGACTGTTGCGTCTTAGATGTTTGTCGTGACCAAGATGCTGGTTTCAGACTTGCCAGTGTGGGGTAAGGCCTTGGCAGCAGCCTTCTATTTGAATCTACCAATTACATAAACTTAATGAGTGTACTACTTGTCAATCCGATTCCTAAGTGAAGTCTGAATTCTGAAATCCTATTGCTCTGGCTGAGGGAAGCTTTTAGTATGTTAAAAGCTTGGAGGAAGTATGTTTAATTGGTAATAATTTTAAATATTAATGCAGGTATTATGTACTTATCAGTTGTGTCCATTTTTCTTTTAATTAAAACTGATATCCTAGGATCAACGTTCTGTAGCGTCAGTTGTTTTTAGTGGTGACGTGAAGGTACACTCTGTCCTCGTGAATTAGGAGGGCTGTGTGCGCGCAGTGGTTTGTGACTGAAGGTCATTTTAATTCTGCAGAAAATGTCTGCTTCTTGCCTTCCCCCGACGTTGAAGCATTTTCCCATTAGAGCCTTTCAACGATATGGAATATTTGAGATGAGTATGAAGAGAAATGCAAAGAAAAATAGCACGGCACTCCGCATTCACTTGTGTTCATTTTCTCTTCAATTCTCCACTCGTGCCCTCCCCCCGATGTTTGGGCTAAATACTAGGTATTAAAATTATACTTAATACTAAGCTATGTTCTGTGAAGTGCTTTGAGACGTCTCAACGACGTGCTAAAGTGCTATATCAAATGCAAGGATTATTATTAATAAACTCATGCTCTGTTGCACCATACTTTTAGAATGGAATATCTTAGTTTTGTCATCACTTGGAATCCGTATCCTGATTGTTACAGCTCAAAGGAATAATCAATGCTTTGAGCTTAACTGAGGCCCAGTAAAATCTTCAAACTTTTTAAAAAGGTTTTACCAACTATTACAGGCAAAGGAAGAGGATGGTGGAAATAACACCCCTTCTTCCACATGTCTTGCATGCTGATTTTTCGCTTACTCTAAAAAAAAAGCTTGATCAATATTTGCACCAATACCCACAAAATAAATGTGAATTTAGTCATTTAAGCTCAGTGAAATTTATTGAGCTGTTTTTGATTGATGTAATGAAAAAAAGTAGCCATGACTTGGGAACTTGCCCCCACCCCCCCAGTTCGCTGTCGTGCTCCGCCACTGTTGAGCGCTATATAAATGCAAGTTGTGGTTGTGCTGTTTCATTGCCTGTTATTTCCGTATGATTTTTTTTGACTTCTCTAAAGGATAGATAAATTGGATTATTCCCAACTCCCTGTCAAATTAAAAGAAAAAAACAAGCTGAGCAATGTAGCTCATTAGTCAACCTCCCGAATAACACTCCCCTGGACAGTTCTGGGAAACAATACAACAAACATTGTCTCTGATATTTCACTTTGGGGCATTCTTAATATTTTGTCCCGAGAGTGGTGCTCGATGCTCACGAATGGATTGGTTACATACAATACTACTTTCTTAAGTAAGTCTCTGAATTGTAATCTGTCTTGCTGCTTCTGACTCCAGTCGAGACATCTCTGTACACAAGATTGACTGATTATTGCTTGAGGATTTTGGCACTAAATGTAATTCCTTTATTCCGAAGGAAGTTGGATGAATGCATTTGTGTATCTCCTTTTGGCTTGTATCAGGACAGATAATAATGAATCATAATAATTCTTGCTTTTGATATAATGCCTTATCACGACTTTAAGACATCTGAAAATCGCTTCCCATAATATACTGTAAAAATGTATGAATAAATCATCTGGTTGCTCTCTTGTGCGGGCGAATTATTTTATGGTATGAGTACGGTGGCACTCGCAGGTGCTACCGTACCCGATAAAATAATATATAATAATTCCTAAGGTTCGTCATTCATAGTTTTTCTAGGCGTAACGGTGGCCTTTGAAGGGGAATTAATAAAGTAATCCCCGAAGCATAAGATCTTCAAGGCAGCTGCTGTTGCTTGAACAGCAAATGTTAAATGGAAACTGAGCAGACCAACTGGTGTGGATTCAGGCAGCATGTGGTGCCATTGACAGCTGATGCAAGGCATGGACGGACGGGATGGAATCCGTATATCTGCAACTGAACTCGGAACTTGAAGGGAATAAATGCAGTTGTGCTTGGTTCAGAGAACCCCATTCCCCTGGGGTGTAAACAAATTCTGATGTTAAAGTTTAATTTTGTATTCCAATCTCATCTTTCTAGTATATTCCGATATGTTCACTGAATAACATTGTAGTACAAAAGTGTCAGTAAAACAAACCTTCCCGCTGATACCAAAAAGGTCTAGCATTCCAGTAATCCTTTGGACGATAGCTGTCTGTCCAATGGTGCTCTCGGCATGTAATAAGCACGAATTGGGATTAAATAGCAAAGGTCCTGAAATATTAAGTTCACCGTGTATTACAAAAGGATTGCTTTTCTTAAAGAAAAGGAACGTGATGTGGAACATATCACTGTTTATGTTTATGCTAATTAAAGGGACTTTCTGATTCTGACAACTATGTTGGTCATTTCAGAAGTTTGATGTGATCTTTTGTAGTAACCGTGTGGACCCAGTGGGACTGCGACAATCCATGGTGGGAGAGAGGAGAGGGGAATGGTATTAATAAATAAAAAAGGACTCTTGAGTTTTAAAAAGTTGCAATTGACATTAGTGGTTGCATATTATGTCTGTTCAGTGCAATGCTTGAAAAAATAATGATGTGTTATAATTTTAGTATAATAATCATGTTCATTAGTTTCTGAGGGTCTTGGAATATGATGTTTGTAATACTGATGTGGTGAATGGCTGGTTACTCGATTGATGAAAATGATGGAAATGTTATAATGGGAGTAAAATAACTTGCAATATTTTCAAATACTTCTTATTTGCTGTTGGTTTGACAGAACTGCCAGAGGATCAACATAGAGGAGCAGAGTGAATCTTTACACAGCGCCCTGTTACAGGAACTTTCAGCACAGTATGTATACTATTTAGTTGCTTTTTAAACCATGCCTGGGGAAAAAAAGTAATTCGTATTTGATTTTCTTCAAATTACATAATTTTAATAGCTTACTTACTTACAAGTCACACTGCCAAGCCAGTTTGGGACATCCTCCTGATGTGAAAGTCACTGTATAATAATAAAAATCATCATCTTTGCATTTGATACATGATCAAAGCACTTCACAGAATTTACTGTAAAGTGAAACGACTATTTTGTGGGCGAAACGCAGCAGCCAATTGAGCACAGCAGTAGCCCACAAACAATTGAGTAACCAAATTATTATTATTTTTTTGAAGGGATTATAAATGTAAATTGTATTGTCAGGCCCTGGAATGTACAGCTTGTGTTGTGTACGGTATTGCGAAAGAGAACTCTCGTGATGGTTCAGCAGAGCAGCTTGCTGAGTCATGCAGACTAGGAAGTAGCTGGATGTGATTTCCAGACTCTGCTGAGTGAGTTAGATGACCTTACCAGGAGGTGATATGTCGGGCTTCCAAGTCCTGCAGCTTTTCGTATCTCTCACACAGTACATGTGGATGAGTACTGTGCCCAAAATGACATATCATTTTTCCAAGTGTCTCGCCAGATTCAAAAGGACCTGTTTTAACTTGTCAGATGCCCTGAAAAATCAATCTAATATTTGACTAGATTGTTAATAACCTATCAGTGAATGATAGTGATTGCTTGCTCTCTGGTCCTTTGGAACTAATTGATACCTTCATATACTTGGTTACAGTTTCCTGTTCCAATATCCATTACTTGATGAAACTAGTATATCTTTCTACATTAAAACTGATTTTTCCTTGTATGAGTCATCTGTTTAATTGGTGCAGTTTTTTTTAATTGAAGTTTCTATTGCTTTTGCCTCTTGGACACACTGCTTGCCTATAAAAGGAGAAAAGCTGGGGGGGGGACTCACTATTCGCTTTGCTGGAGGTTTGCAAACTGTCTAACTGCAGATACGAAATGGGGGGGGGGGAGGGAATCAGTAAAGGGTAATGTACCATTCTAAAGGAAGTGCTGCCAGGATGGTGGAAGACGAACTAGATGTACCTTGGTCTTTTGTCCAGCAAATTCCTATGTAGCCCTGACGATGTGATAAAGTGCTATATCAAACGCAAGGATGATTATTATTATAAATTCCACGTCCAGTCTAACCTGTGCATTTTATTACACAGCTGTAGTACATGGGTGAGCCAAATGTTTTATGGTAGAGTAGGGGAGCGGGAGTGGATATATGTCTCCAGTGGTTCATTTAACCGTAGGTCGTGAGGCAGAACTCGAGTTTGCTTAATGAATTTGGTGTTCTGGGCTGCATTAACTTTTCTTTTTCAACCAACATGATGGTGATTGCTGAAGTCCAATGATCTACCAACCTATTTGGGGCAGTATGTAATGGAGTGTTTTTTGAAGGCAATCACTGAAGGTTTGAAGTAATGTAAATTAACAGTTTGTGCAAATTGTTCTCAATGCTGAGATGTGTGGTGAAACACACTAGCCACATGTATGTAGCTTCTTGTGTTGGAGAAGGTTTAATTTGTTGTTTTTTGTGCAGGTGACATTATTCCTTGCTGGGATAAGCAAGGGATAGTGGCAGAGAGGTAGAGTTGTGTGTTTGGGAGGGATTCCTGCTATGTTATGTGATTTGAACTTATTGACTATGCGTTTTGATTCCAGCCAGTACAAGTATTTTAGGACAATATGCCATTAAGGAACTATTGTAGAACATTTGGTCTTTAAATTAAAGGCTTCATAATGCTAAAGATATGTTTTTATATATATTATATATATACACACACACACTGTTGTGAAGCGATCAGTAGCAGGAACCCGAGTGTATCCTCTCCCTCACTTCAGTCAACTTTGCGCAACTGGGGACATTATTAATTCTTACCAGTTGTAAGAGTATAGTTTTATGCTTAGTGCCTAATGACTTTACAGAGAGCCATTCAGGCAGTTGTAACTAATTTATCACCAGCGACATTCAAAACAGGGTGGTTCTTTCCATGGAACATAAAGATAAGTAGCATTATTGTAAATATTCTGATTTGGGATGATTTTCCTTAATCAAATAAATGCCTTATGGGTGTTGATTTTAGGTAACTTATGTCTCAGTCTGAACCACAGTTGAATGGCGATTGCATTAATCAAATGAAACCCGACCAACTGTTATCTTAAATGCTGCTTGAGAAGAGTTCAACTTCTAGCAATGGTTGAGCTAGTACTGACTAAATCAGCTGGGCTTTGGCTCAGACCTCAGCTGTTTCACAGAAAAAATTGAAGCGCTGCTTATAAGTAGGCCTTGCAATGCTTGGAATTGGACCATAGATTAATTTTAAAAAAATTCATTTTACTGCAACATGTACAACCAGAAGTTTGTGTTAATCAGTCCCATGTGGAGTCCTGTAGCTTAGTGGTTAGAGCTTTCACCCCGCAAGCGAGAGGATCTGGATTCGATTCCCGCGCAGGGCGGAAAGTTAGGCAAGTTTCCTTACTCCACACGCCGCTGTAGGTAGGAAGCCATTTATTAGTCAGTTGGATCGCTTTTCTGAGGATGATAATCCTTTCAAATTATTTTTTGCAAAATAATAACAAATAATAATTGTCATTCAATCTACAACTGTTTGTGGGACACTGCTGTGTGCCATGTTTCTCTCACAAAGTATACATACAGCCAATCCACTTCCCAGTATATCCTGTGAAGCGCTTTGAGACGCCTCGAAGATGTGATAAAGTACTATATCAAATGCAAGTATTATTATTGATATAGCTCTTTACTTTGTCTTCCATTGTAGGTATTGCAACAGGCAGGGGCTCCATATGCCGTACCACATGAAATGAACAAAGGACCCCAACCTATTGGAGGATCTCCAGCAGCCCCACATCCCTCCCCTTCCCCTGGAATCTCACAGGTGAATAAATGGTGGAATGTCTTGACAGGAGGTGACTTTTGATTTTTCTTTCTCTGGTTTCTGCATGTAGGACGACTGTTCCTAGTGACCCTGAATTGACTTTGTTCATGCCATTTATGTCCCCAGCCTGCCTATCCCTCTGGCCAGACAACTACTCCAGTGGTTTTTGCACCACCGCAACCTCCACAAATGAACACTCAACCACAACCACGGCAGGTAAGGACCGCTTTTCCATGAATGGTGCACATGAGATGTAACGGCAAAATCCTTATTTTTGTCAATTACTAATTTTATGCAGTGTTACTGGTTGCACTAACAGAAATTAGCTTGTGGAGTCTTAACTTTGTACATACAGCAGTCATTGTTCTTTCGCTATGATCTTGCGATTGACTTGTTTGTGGCCTCAGCTAATATGAATCTTCAATCCAGAGCCCTTCATTCCTAGAGTGAAGCTGATAAGTTTCTTTATCTAACTGATAAAGTCTTAGTTGGCATGACCAGGTGCCAAGACAATAGTTTTCAAAATATCAATTTTACTACATTTCCTTTTGTACTAAGCCCACAATGATTGAAGGGGAGAAAAAGTTTAAAGTAATAGCCACAAAGTTGAGGAACAGTGTGAACTATCTTCTGCTTTCAGGGATGAATTTTTGGCAGAACTTGTGTTTGATAGTCCATTCCTGCCATACCTTATCCAGGTAGTAAAGCTCTCCAAATGTTAGGTACAAGATTAAGATTCCCCATCATTGCCTTAACATCATCCTTGAAAGTGTGCTCCATACTGCAGCAGGACAATGTTTCGCCTTTCTTTACCCACACCTTTATACATCCTTGTAACCCCAGCTTCTGATCACCTTAGAGCAGAATTTATGGACTGGTTGGGTGTCAGCCTGGCGCAGTGGTAGCACTCTTGCCTCGTGAGTCAGAAGGTTCAAGCCCCCACATCGGGACACAAAATCTAAGATGACACTCCAATGTAGCGCTGAGGGTGTGCTGATTGTCGGAGGTGCTATCCTTCGAATGACGTTAAACCAAGGTCCCATCTACCCGTTTAGAAGGATGTTAAAAATACCACGGCACTGTTCAAAAAGGGAAGAGAGTTCCTCCGTCCCGGTGTCCTGGCCAACAATCCCCCAAGTAGAATTGGTCACCCACTCCTTGGCAGTTTGAAAATGCCCAAGTGATTCACTTGGGGCACTGACATTAGTGTCAAAGAATCCTCGTTCCTATGTGCCTGGATTGGGTTACATGTTTAACTGAAATTAAACCCCTGTGGTAAAGTTGCTCCTTAGATTATAGTAATCTTTAATAGCTTTTATTCCGTTTTGCTCTTCCTCTGCTTCTCTCCCTCCCCCCCACCCCGGAGGGTACTGTGCACTATATCACTATATTATTTCAAGCAGCCTAGGTTGGTAGTATACAATGTCAATGAGCATCATCAGCCCTGACTCATCTGTAAAGCCAGACTAATGCCCCCTTCCCCCATATTGTATCTTTATCTCCAGTCTCTCCTGCTCCTCCCTCTTGGAAGAAGTATTTTCATCATCTGCCCCCTGGTACTCAGCTACGTGTCCAAGCCCAGCTAACATGATCACTTGTTGACTTGGATACTTTCTAGTTAGGAGCCACTGAATAGCGATGAAGAATACGAAACCTGTGCGTTTTCACAAAATGGTCTCGCCTAGGTTTCCGACTTTTGTTTCTGGTTATCAGGGTCGGAAAAATCTGACGGGATTGTAGTTAGTGTGGCTTGCTTGTTTGAGTGGGCATAGTCCTCTGCCTTTCTACAACTGGAAGCGTATGGTGGCAGATGACTTCAAAAGTGGCTGGAGACTGGGATTCATATTATTGTTTTCAATCCCCTCATTTGCTGCAATCCTCTTCAGACAAAAAAATGTGATCACTCAATCCACGACTCTTTGTGGGACACTGCTGTGTGCAATTGGCTGCCGCGTTTCGCCCATAAAATACAGTCAATTCGTTTTCCAATATATTCTGTAAAGCGCTTTGGGATGTCTCGAAGACGTGGTAAGGTGCTATGTAAAATGAAAGGATTATTATTATGAGTCTTGGCACCTCTTGAGCCAGCAGTGTTGCCTCATTTACTGTAAAGACTGCAGTGTAAGTTACACTTATTGCTGAGGGGGAACTTATTGTCATTGAGGGGGAAATGCAGCATCAATGCTAACCCGATAGTGCCCTTTAGTAAAGATATTAAACTGTGTAGAGTTTAGCTGAGCTACACAGTGCTGGTTAAGCAGAATAAGAACTGGAAGTTAGGGCTGAACGCATCTTGCCCACGTATTTTTGTAATGTGTTTTTGTTCTGTATGCAACTTGGGTAAGTTATTTTTAAACTTCATTCCCCTTATCTCTTTGTCAAAATGTTACCATCTGAATAATTTGATTACAGATTGTATTTACAGATTATGGGGGGAGAGAGAGCAGTATTGTTATAAATGTGTGCAAGTTATCCTGCCCAGGATAAATTGTGTTTTGCTTTAAATCTCTTTTTTCTCCTTTCTTGTTAATGGGAACAAGTGCGGGGATGTTGCCAGCATTTCTGCCTAAGTACACACGCTGGTGCAATCATGAGGAAGTTGAAACTCTCATCCTTGTTTATATACATGCCTTGAGTTTTTTGTTGTCCTGTGCAAACAAACCCAATGGTGCTGAAATCTCCAGTGTTTAATGGTGCGAACCTGAGCGAGAGAGAGAAGCTTGTGACTGTTTTCTGTGAGGCTGATAAACTTTGCCTATATCTCATATTTGACTTGCTTTTATCTCTCACTTCCCTAGTTTGCTGCAGGTCCTCGAGCTTTACATCAGCAGGTACTAACCAATTCACGGACTGCATGCAATTGCATACTATGCCATGCAATTCCATGTAAATTTATACACGCTGCGATCTAAAATACGGCTTTGAATGCATGTCTGAACTTCAGTTCTTTTCTCCTTTCCTCCCCCTCCTTATATAAGCTATGGTTTAACAGCAATCAGACCTTGAGCAACAGTCACCTAATTAAACGCAGTTTACATTAAAGGTTTCTGGAGCACATTTTTCAATAACTTACATTTATATAGCGCCCTTCGCGCTGTACAGTGTCTCAGAACGCTTAACAGTGGTGGAGTCTGACCTCGAGTCAGGTTAGCTAGTTGCAGAGGCAGGGAGAGGCAAGACAGTTGGAGGGCTTTAAAAGGGAAAGTAAGTAACTTGATGAACTAACACACAGGTTATCTCAAGATGTTGTGAGGCTTAAACGTGGCAAACAGTACATCAGCTTGATTCTTCATTCTGCATTCTCTTCATAGCCAGGATTAACTTTCTGGTTTGAATTTTATTGTCTTGACGCAATGCTTCAGTGAGATGGTTGCTACCATAACGCCTGTGTGGATGCCTTTCTAAACCCCTGGCTTTGGATGGTATATTTTGACATTAGCCCACGTTCACACTCTTATTAAATGCCTCCCAACATTTGTGTGTCCCACAACAGAGTAACGTTTGCTCCACCCAGTGCCTAGCCAGTCCTGTCAACTTCCATGAGCTGGCATTTTGATTCCATGACATGACAGCAGCCCACGAAAGAGGAAGTAGTGTCAAATTGACTGTTCCCTGATTTGAAGTTTTTAATGTTTGTTAGTTCAGCATTAGGCTCGTTCCGTTTGTGTACTTCTTCCAGTGGGTCGGAGGATGGGGAAGTTGAAGCAGAGGTGTCTGTAATTGAAGCACTGAGGAGGTATGAGCAGTGTTGGGATGACAGACAGTTGTAACCCATTTTAACTACTACATAATCATGTATAATTTTCCTTAAGTGTTAAAGTCAGAACAACAGTTTGCATTTACAAAGCGGCCTTCATTCACGTGGTATAACATCCAAAGGCTGAGTTAAGACGCTGAACAAGGGAAGGGTAAAGTGATGGTAGGTGCGGTCAAAGAGGTAGACTTTTAAGGCTGGATTTGAAGACCATTAGAAAGGGGACGAAACAAAGTGGTGGAGAGATTTCCCTTCCTTGCATAAGTGGATTGCCATCACTGTAGCTTGTTCTCTTGATCTCGTTTGGGAGTTAACTTAACCTGGAAGGTTTCCCGGATTAAACCTTCCAGGCACGAAGAAGGGTGTTGCCTAGCTCTGCTGTTCTGTTAATCGTTTTCAACCCCTCTGTTTTCGCATTTGACCCTTTTGTGGATTAGTTTTGTATTTCCTGTTGATAGTGTATAGCCCAATATACTTCAAACTAACCTTTTAGAGCTTGGACCACAGAGGGGGTTGCCACGGCCTCCGGTGGGATGTGTATGTCTTGATTGGATTGTTCTCACTTAAGCTGTTCTATACCATTATTTGTGGAGCTGGGTCCATGAGCAATCATTGTGTAGTCTGTGGTGAGGAATGTTAACAGAAGCTTATGTGGCTTTGTGCTCTATGATGGGTACAAAGCCTTTCATGATTACTTGCAAATATCCTTGTGGAAAGCCAACCATCTTGGGTTGATTTAACAACAACAAAGTTAGATTTGTATAGTGCCTTTCACGTCGGGAGAACAACCCAAGAATCTGGACAATCAGTGTTTTGGACCGGAGCTGGGAGGCGGGATCGGGGAGGGCTGGAAGGCAGGGGAGAAAGGAGAGTGATCGAAGGCACAGTTGAAGACGAGGGTCGTGAAGGAAGCAAAGGAAGGGGCGAGGTGAAGGGACTGCGGATAGAGTTCTAGGTGGAGGCAGAGTGGCTGAAGGCCTGCCTGCCAATGGTGGGGCTGGCGAGGCGAGAGATGTGAAGCAGGCCGAAGCCCTCTGAGCAGAGGGAGCGGGCAGGTTTTTTTAAAAAAGTAGTCACTTAATGCTAGTTTGGTTTGAAGCCTGAGGACTGTTTCAGTGGAGCAATGTACTCTATCTTGTAGAGATATATAATCATAATATTGTCATTATTATAATATAAGCCTGAAGATCTTCCTCTTTGACCATGTCTAAGGTCACCTCCCCCTCCTATCAAGCACTCTGGGACGCTACCTTGAGTGAGAGCACTATATAAATGCAGGTGGTTGTTGTTTCCATTGATGAGTGAGTTCCTGCTCGCACCTACATATACTTTCCAGCAGGAGTTCTTTAAAAAATAATCTGAACTCTGGCTAATTTCTGCTCTTTGCTTTCTCTCTCTCCTCCCCCCCCCCCCCCCCAAACTTTAAAGATATTGACCCAAATGAAACAAAGAGCTACGACTCAACTTTGATACCCACTGATTTTTGGCACAGATCTGGGAGAGAAACTGGGCCTGTTCAGCTCTGTTCTGGTTCACCACCCCACCAGGTGCTTCATCTTCCCATCGAGTGCTACATCTTCCCATTGTGAAGGCCAGCTGCTCAGGGTGAACTTTCTCTACGTGCTTGCCAGCTTTTGCAGCTGACACTAGTTCATGGTGCTCAACTGAATTGGGAGTGTGTGACACAGTCAATAGGCAAGCTTTGTCTCACCCAGGAATGATCTATCAAGCACCATTCCCGAAATATTCATTTTGGCGGTCAGTCGGGTGTCTGACACATAGAATTCTAGAATATTATAGCATAGAAGGAGGCCATTCGGCCCATCGTGCCTATGCCGACTCTTTGAAAGAGATATCCAACTATTCCTACTCCCCAGCTCTTACCATAAAATCATGTGGAAACCAGTCACCATGCTTAGGAGTATCCAAACGAAGCTGGGAATTGCATGCATCCCACCTACACATGGAAATTCCAGACTGTTGGAATGGAATGCACACTCTCTCCCTGGAGGAACGCATCCTACTTACCTAATTCTGCAAAGTAGGTACAGGTTGGCAAGAGCCAAGACTTGGGGACCCCAGAATGTGCGTTGACTGCTGAAATGTACCGCAACTGTCCTTTCTCACAAGCCCCTCATCACTTGCAGCAATGAGGATGTGTAGCTTGTGATCTTTCGCAAGAAACCTTTGCAGCTTAGTGTAATGGTGTGACTACAAAGTTCACCACAGAGCTGATTATTACTGGTGCTTTATGGTATGCGAGGATCCTGTTCCAGTTCAAAGACAGGATAACCTTGTTGTTGAGCTTGCTGACATTGGAGGCCCTCAGTGAGCTGTAGTAATGAGGACTTCCTCTGGTGGGGGAAAATCGGCACTGCAAATGTGGGGGGAAAAAAAGTCAGCAGGCCTGGTTCAGCACCTGTGCCACACGACTGCAACTGTTTGGAGTTGCGGGCAACTATACTCTGTTCTTATAAGCCATGTCTCTCTGAGGGAAGGCTTCACTGTAGACGGTGTCAGTTTCAAGGTTCCTCCTATTACTCCCCTTTGCTTTAAATTAATGCTGATCTTTTAACAATGGGATCTTGGAATCTGGTGTACTTTGTTGCTGGAAAAAGTTAGCAGTAAATTCGACCAGTTCAGCTGTCATCTTGCCCTCTAGTTTGGTGGTTTGTCCTCTATACTTAACATGTGTAGAATTAGAATTAACCTGTGCAGAAAGTTCCAGGTCAGTAACATAACATCCTTTTGAAAGTATTTGGGTTGACTAGTGAAATTGCTTATCTGTGTTAGTCATTAGTAGCATCTCCTGGCTGCCTTACAGCAGGATTATTGTATAAAACACTGACCTGGGATGAGGAGTAAACCTGTAACTTTCTTTTGCTGATTTCTGCTCCAGTATTCTCCCCTCCTCTCTTGAAAGCGTTTGCGATTCTCCTTCGGGGATGAGGTTCCACAGGAGCCAGTCACTCACTGGTACTTTACTCATTTAAAGTCCGTTTAACTGAACAAGCAACGGCAGGCAAATTCACAGTCGAGCACAATGCTGCCTTTGCGCCATATTCCATTTGTTCACGTCAGGCCTCTGAGTAGGTAGAAGTAACCAGGAGGGTATTGAGGGGCGATTGGAAATACTCTATCCACTCATTGCTTTGGCTGAGATCAGCGAACTCGGCACAGACCCGGATTTGAAACCGTAACCTTAGTATGTAAATAATTTATGCACAGAAATTTCTATTGCAGTGTTTTGTGTTTACAAGATGCATGACTACTTATTTTGCTCGCCTCTTTGAATGGTTCCTGCACTGGTGCCATTCTGCTTAAATACAGCGCTATGATTTTCCCCGACCTGCATTTGCTTTGCGCCATTGGCTATTTTTTTTCTTCCCCTTTTCTACGTCTGCCATACAATGCTGGTCTTTTGTATTTAAAAAAAAATGCAATTCAGATTTAGTTCAATATGTATTTTCTGTGAATTTTAGGTGCTAAAATCCCCCAGTTATTTTTATTTTAAAAACTTGTTTAATTTGTGTATGTTGATGACTGATTGTTGCCCAGTGGTAGATTTATACGCACAAAGATCAATTGGTGGTGGGGGGAAGGGGGGAAAAGGTGTGATTGGATGCCCATGCGGTGTGGTTGTGGCCTATTGTGTTTATATTGTGCTTTTCTCTCTCTTTTCTCTGTAGCAGTACTATCAAAACAGAGCCCAGCCACAGAATAGTGCTTCCAGGGTTCAGAATAATACAACGACTCGACCTGTGCCCTCTGCCCATGTCTACCAGCCTGGCTCTCAGACTATTATGATGATGACGCAACAGATACCCACATATCCATCATCAGGACCGCCTTACTATATTCCACAAGGCCAGGCAAGGATCTTTTATACATAGAAGCTGATCAGAAGATGTTTTTATTTTGACTGCAGAACTTTGCTGAATAGAAATCAATTGTGCAAATTCTATTAACCACTTTGTTACCGTGCCAGCTGGTATGGGCATGGTACACTGCACTGGTCACTGCTGGGTCAGGTCAGGTTACTCAAGAAGTTAATTGTATCATTGCGAAAGACAATGCTCTTTGTAAATATCCAACTGTATTTACTTTCCTACCTTCAGTTTGTCAACTGATTGACGTTTTCAAAGAAAAATGTAATTGTCCTGGAGTTTTTGTTCAGTGAGGCACGAAACAAATTCCATGCTCAAACCAAAAAGTTGTAGTTCTGAGGGGTTTAGCAACAACCTGCACTTATATAGCGCCCCTCACGCAGAGTAGTGTCTTCAGAGCGCTTAACAGTGGTGGAGTCTGACTCCGAGCCAGTGGGAGGGGGTGCGGTGAGGTGGCTGAAAGCACGGTCGAAGAGGAAGGTTTTCAGGAGGGATTTGAAAAGGGGCAGAGAGAGGGTAAGGCCGGGGGATTGGGGAAGAAGCTAGTGAGTTTAATTGCATTTTCTAAGAACATTTAATTTCCCCAAGTTACTTAGGAAAAGAATAAACTCCCTCTGTTTTGATGAATTCACCCATAAAATATACAGTCAATTCACTTTACAGTATATTCTGTGAAGCGCATTGAAACATCTCAAAGACGTGATAAGGCGCTAAATCAAATCCAAGGATTATTATTTACTGTTGACTTGGAGGAAGGAAGTCTTGATCATGAAACCTTACAGCACAGAAGGAGGCCATTCGGCCCATCACACCTGGGACGGCTCTTTGAAAGAGATACCAACAAATACCCACTCCCCCTATTCACCTGATAGATTAGAGTAAGTTTTTGAATGCATTATAATGGGTATAGAAAGTCAAAATAAAAAGGTGAACCTTATTTTTGTGTTACAGTTCCGTTCTACGTATGTACAGCCACCTCAGCAGTACCCCGTCCCTCCTGGACCAGGATTTTATTCAAGCCCGAGCCCTGGGGAGTTCCCTTATGGTAAGATTTTAACACTTTGGTCATTGCTCAAGTCACAACACTTCGGTCAATTTCCTGCTACTTAACGAGGCAGGAAATGTCAAGAGACTGCCAAGATGCTGGAAGGCGAACTGGTTGGACCTTGGTCTTCTTTCTCCCAGACTAGCAAATTCTTATGTTCTTAAGAGGCAGAGTAAATAGAACGGTGAATAAATGCAGAGAGCCCAATTCCCTCAAAGTACAATCCATATAAGCTAAACAGAATCTACAGGTTATTTTCTCTATTTCTCTGCCCCCTCACTGCCCGTCTTCCAAATCTCTTGACCAAGTGTCGGTTTGTATTCCTCTGGTACCTCAGCTTGTTTGTTGATTGATCATGTGAGAGCCATGATCAGACAGTGAATGATTGGCAATCCAAAACAGCAAATAAAAATCAATTTTTCTCACCTGATACCTATGTGCGTGTACGCACACACTCATTTTCCTGGAGGTGAAGCCTGTTGCAGAGTCCTTAATGCTGCCTCGGCTGGGTTTGGGCAACTCTTCACACAGCAGCGGTTAAACTCGGGACCTTTGGGGTTCATATTGCTTTTAAGCACTAGGCAGTGAATTCACCCACTTTGCTGGTTAGTGGAGCTGTCCTTATTTGGTCGTTAAATGCTGATTTACTGGTTTCAAATGTAAGGGACGGTGAATAGTGCCTCAAAAGCTTGAAGTAGTAACATTTAGTGTCATGCAGTTTGTCATAATGGTGTAACTGTTTTGCAAAGCTAAAGGATATATTAGCGGATATGAAAATCAGAAATGCTCTTTGGGCTATTGCTGACAATTTTACCAATTTTGCAAATCATACATTTTAAAGAGATACTTTGTGGTGGGGTTAGGGAAGAGAGTGGTGTGTACCATTGTGCTTTGCCATGGAATGGCAGAGCACTGGTGTGTGTTAAGATTCTCTACATGGTGAGTACCCAATATTCAGTGTTGCTGTAACCTGTTGAGCAGAGTGGAGAGATGAAAGGAAAAGCTAGAAAGAAAGGAAAGGAAAAGCTATCATTTCATAATAGTTTGCAATACATCGAGCCTGTTTGGCAAGTTTGTCGCTCCTTGTGCTAGCAGTGAGTTGCAGATTGCTATTGGCAGAGGTTGGGAGCAATAGCCTTGCCCCTCACGATGTAACAATAGGCTCATTTCCATATTGTGCATCTTTTAGCATAAGGGGCTTAGAAATGAACAATGTCCCGTGTTTTACTGCACCTGAAGCACAACCTGTTTTTAAAAAAAATTACATTTTTCGAAAACAGATTGTTAAATTGTGGCATGGCCACTTTGCAGCCTTTATCCAAATCCCGAACTGTCCAGTGCCTTAGAACGTCCTCCCAACGTGAAAGGTGCTACACAAATGTAATTTGTTGTTGTTCACAGGAAGTTGAGTATTCAAAACTCATTTTGAACCACAGCTAGAACGGTTACCAAGGAGTGGTGTGATGGGGAAAGTGGACTCTTGTGAATTCAGATTGTCTTGAAGTGTTTGATGGATATCAAGTATAGTTAAAGCAGTTTTCTCCCCCCACACACCGCCAACTACCTCCCAATTGCCTCCTCTCTTATCTCCTAAAGCTACTTCTGCTAACTACTGCTCCCGTATGTCGCAATATTAATGTGTGAGCCTAGACTGCAGGTCATTCGGTTGTTAGCTTCTACACTGGGCAATTTCTGGGAGTCTCCACTAAACGTAATTTTTTTTACTGGATAATTGAATTTATAATCCTTGCATTTTTGCACTTGATATAGCATCTTATCACGTCTTTGAGACGTCTCAAAGCACTGTACTGAAAATTGGCTGTGTATTTTGTGGGCAAAATGCAGCAGCCACATCAGTGTCCCATAAACAGTTGTGGATTGAGTGACCAAATTATTATTTTTATTTTTTGGAAGCGATTATTGCGATGACAAATTACATTTGTATAGCGCCTTTCATGTCAGGAAAAGCGATCTGCCAATTGACTAACAACCGGATTCCTACTTACTTCTAGGTAAACAGAGGTGTGTAAAGTAAGGAAACTTGTCCTGCCCGGGAATCGAACCCAGGTATCTCGCTTGCGAAGCGAGTGCTCTAACCACTAAGCGACTGGGCTCCACAATTTATTTCTATCTGATGTTTTGCTAGCCAAGGATTGCAAAGTATGTGACTAGAATTCAGTAAGGGAAGTAGGAATGACTTGCAATTCTGACTACAAATGCACCAGTAGTTAATAACCTGACAAAATATACCACAGGGGAGAATTATTTTCTGTCTGGTAATGTTTTTGTAAAAATTATGGAATTTTGTTTCTGGTTAAATTTTAACCGGATCGGATTTAAAAAAAAAAAGTATTTAGACTTTATACTCTGTTGAATTACTTATTGAATGGAAAGTAATTGCTGGGTCTGAGATTGTTTTTTGAGCTAATTTTAAGGAAAAATGCTGGAGTGTTAATAATGTAAATCTTTGGTTGAGGCTTGGGTTCCCATTAACAAAATATTCTTCTTGATTGTATGTGGTAATAATAATTAATCGTTGCATTTGATATAGTGCCTTATCACGTCTTTGAGGAGTCTCAAAGCACAGAATATACTGTAAAGGGAATTGACTATATTGTGGGCAAAACGCGGCAGCCAATTGCACATCGCAGTGTCCTACAAATAGTGGTCGATTGAGTGACCAAATTACCATTATTTTGGGGGGGAAAATGTGGAGTCTGTGTGGCGAGAACGTACACTCCTTTTGAGTCAACAAGTCAGTCTCGCGCTCTCTAAATATTTCAATAGTTGCTAAAATAATTATTTGACAACAGCTCACTTACATGGAATTATATTCTGAGTAACAGACCTGAGTTTGAATTGTAAAATGTCTTGTTACATGGTCAGTTTCTGCGTTCCATTGCTTATTGTGTTAAGCTTCCAGTCCATTATTTAGGAACTAGGGGTAAGCCAGTTTCATTTAAGGTCCGTTTAGATTTCGTACCAAGGAAAGCCTAGAGTGGTTCTCTTGTAACCGAAATGAGGAACAGACTGATGAGAAGTTAAGGCAACCAGACCTCCTGGTATATTATATGTTTGAGTCTGGGAAATGAATGGAGCAATCAAGATTTGGCATCTTGATTATCGTAAGGCAGAGAAGCTGAAATCTGCATTAATTGGTATTGGCCACACGGCAAAAATAGAAAACTGTGCGGACTTCAGGGTTGTTCGTGTGTGCTTGTACTCCTGAGCTTCGGTTGGAGAAACCATTTTCTACTGTATTATTTCATCAATAGCCTAAAATATTGAGCCCCTGGTGTTCCTTTGAGGGTCAGGTATGAGCACAATTTTCTGGAGAGTAACTAATTACTTCAGGTGTCTTTCAGCTTATTCTTGCAACTGGTGGATTGCACGCAGCCGGGGTCAACTCAAAAGAAATCTGTGGAAACACTATTTGAGTGAGCAAGTTGTAAACGTATGGAACAAGCTCTCTGTGGAGACAGTGGAAGCAGAAAGTGTTGATTCTTTCAAAAGCAAATGATATCTTGGCGAACAGTATATTTTGGGACAAGTCGTGTGCAAGCGACTGCCAGGATGGTGGAAAGCAAACTGGATGGACCTTGGTCTTTTGTCCAGCAATTCTTACAGTAGTGAAATGTTTGCATAAGGATGTATCATTGCATCAATAGCTTAAAATATTTACCTTTTTGTGTTCAGTGAAAGTCATGGATATGGGTGCAATTTTCTAGCGAGCAACTAACTTCTTTAGGTGTCTTAAGATTATTCTTGCCACAGGTGAACTGTACATCCTTCAATCCGTTTGACCTTTCTCTACAGGAACCTATTACCCAGCAGCGCAGGGAGTGCAACAATATCCTGCCCCAGTGGCTTCGGCCACTGTTATGATAAACCCAGCACAGCAACAGATGCCTCCAAAGAGAGAACGAAAACAGGTGATTTGGGCTTGACCGTGCGTGGGGCTGGGGACGGGGTCTGGAGCAGGGGTGTGGTTGTGTGGGGGCGCAGAGGGGGCGCGTGGGTCGGGTCGGGGCGTGTGAACCTTTCCATTTCTTGTCTGGTCTGTGCTGGTGTACCCGTGTAATTTGTGGGTGTTTTACCTGCTAAGAACCCTGCGGTTTGGAACTCCCATCCCACTCCCCTCACCTCCTTCATAACCCGTCGCCAATCCCTATTCTTCGACTGCACCTCCCTCCCGCTCACACCCTCCAGCTCCCCCTCTCGCGTGCGCCCCCTCCCGCTCACCCCCCCAACCCGTGCGCCCCCTCTTGCCCCTGTGCTCAACCCCCAACCCGCGCGCGCCCTCACGCTCGCCCCTCCCACTCAAACCCCCCCAACCTGTGCACCCCCTCCCGCCCCCCACGCGCGCGCCCCCTCCCACTCACAACCCGCGCGTGCCCTCCGGCGCACCCCCCCCCCGCGCACAATCCCGCTCACCCCCCCAACCCGTGCGTGCACACTCCCGACCGCGCGCCCTCACGACTGCTCTCCCACTCCCGCGCGCGACCCCTCCCGCTCACCCACCCCCCGGCGCGCGCGACCCCTCCTGCTCACCCAGCGCGGCCCCTCCGCTCAGCCCCACCGCGCGCGCGGCCCCTCCCGCTCAGCCCACCGCGCGCGCGGCCCCTCCCGCTCAGCCCCACCGCGCGCGCGCCCCTCCCGCTCAGCCCCACCGCGCGCGCGGCCCTCCCGCTCAGCCCACCGGCGCGCGGCCCTCCCGCTCAGCCCCACCGCGCGCGCGGCACCTCCCGCGCCCCTCCCGCTCAGCCCCACCGCGCGCGCGGCCCCCCCGCTCAGCCACCCCGCGCGCGCGGCCCCCCCCCCCCCCACCGCGCGCGCGGCCCCTCCCGCGCACCCCGCGCGCGCCGCCCCCCCCCCCCCCGCGCGCGCGGCCCTCCCGCGCAGCCCCACCGCGCGCGCGGCCCTCCCGCGCAGCCCACCGCGCGCGCGGCCCCTCCCGCTCAGCCCCACCGCGCCGCGGCCCCTCCCGCTCAGCCCCCCCGCGCGCGGCCCCTCCCGCTCAGCCCCCCCGCGCGCGCGGCCCCTCCCGCTCAGCCCCACCCCCCCTCCCGCTCAGCCCCACCGCGCGCGCGGCCCTCCCGCTCAGCCCCACGCGCGCGCGGCCCCTCCCGCTCAGCCCCACCGCGCGCGCGGCCCCTCCCGCTCAGCCCCACCCGCGCGCGGCCCCTCCCGCTCAGCCCACCGCGCGCGCGGCCCCTCCCGCTCAGCCCCCCGCGCGCGCGGCCCCTCCCGCTCAGCCCCACCGCGCGCGCGGCCCCTCCCGCTCAGCCCCACCGCGCGCGCGCCCCTCCCGCTCAGCCCCACGCGCGCGCGGCCCCTCCCGCTCAGCCCACCGCGCGCGCGGCCCCTCCCGCTCAGCCCACGCGCGCCGCCCCTCCCGCTCAGCCCCACCGCGCGCGCGGCCCCCCGCTCAGCCCCACCGCGCGCGCGGCCCTCCCGCTCAGCCCCCCGCCGCCCCCCCTCGCCCCCCCCCCCCCCCCCCCCGCGCGCGCGGCCCCTCTTGCCCCTGTGCTCAACCCCCAACCCGCGCGTGCCCTCCCGCTCGCCCCTCCCACTCAAACCCCCCAACCTGTGCACCCCCTCCCACCCCCTACGCGTGCGCCCCCTCCCACTCACAACCCGCGCGTGCCCTCCGGCGCGCCCCCCCCCGTGCACAATCCCGCTCACAATCCCCCTCCCCCCCCTCGCGCGCGCGACCCCTCCCCCCCCCCCTCGCGCGCGCGACCCCTCCCCCCCCTCGCGCGCGCGACCCCTCCCTACGCTCGACCCCTCCCTACGCTCGACCCCCCCGCCCGCTCGACCCCTCCCGCTCAGCCCCCACGTGCTCACGCCCACCCTCCAGTTCCTCCCCCCATGCGCGCCCTCCACCCGTCCTGATCACAATCTCCAGCTTCAATGCAAATCCTTGACCTTCCAGCACCTTGGGATGTCCTCCTGATGTGAAAGGCGCTGTTCAAATGTCGTTTGTTGTTGTGGTTGTAGATCCGGATAAGAGATCCAAACCAGGGTGGAAAAGATATCACAGAAGAGATTATGTCTGGAGGACGGTCTGGCTCAACACCAACTCCTCCACAGGTAAGTTCTCCAACACCAACTCCTCCACAGAGAAAGAATTTCCACAAAACACTGGCAAGGACATTTGTTTGAATATCTGAAATGATGTTTGTTTAAATATTTGAAACACCTGGTCTGCAACGGTGAAATATTTGCCTCGTTTGTGGGAAGAGGGGAATGCTCGAGTCTGGCCTGTGCCTGTGAGCACAGAATGCAGTTTTACGTTTCCTAAATTGATGGTATTTCAACACGGGCGAAAACATCAATGTAAAGCAGTTTGTTCAGATGAGGAAGTACTTTCAATCTTCCCCTTCCTCCTCTGACCAGCCATCCCTTTTAAGTGCATGGATCCATGTCGTTATGTAATGATCAGTTCTTTTGATGAATCATTGTCTATAGTTGGTACCTTCTGACCTGACATCATTCACTGGAATAATAAATTAGGCTGTATGAGTAAATTGTGGGACTTGGACAAAAGATATTAGGATGACACATTTGTTGTTCATTTATGTTAATCTTGCTCCTCTGTCGCTCGCTTTACACAGTCCGCAGGAACTTTGGAAGGTGGTGGTGCAGTACAAGCCAACGGTGAAAGTCCTCATTCAGTACCAATAGTTATCCGACCAGGTTTGTACTTTCACTGACTCGAATGACAGAGACATCTCAAAGACATGATAAGGCGCTATATCAAATGCAAGGGTTATTATATTATCTTAGTATATTCAATGGGGCACACGACTGTCTTGAGGTGGAGATAAACCAGGATTATCTACCTCTACTGTCCCTGCCTTCCACCCCTCCTATCCCAATCCCCAACTCAGGTCCAAATCCATGACCGCCCAGTACTTTGGGACGTCCTCCCGATGTGAAAGGCGCTATACAAATGTAATTTTTTGTTGTGGTTCCTGACCCTGATAGCTGACCAGCGACTGTAGGATGGGTTTAGGTTCTGTTGAATCTTGCCAATGACTCCAAAGTCTCCGATACATGTCTTATTTATGTGTGAAGGAGGAACATTTTGGGCATTTAGTTTGAGGAAATTACCAACTAAAACAGTCACCGTATTTGACAGTGAAAGCTGTAAAATGGATCGAACTAATTTGATCTGAAGAGTTGCGATGCAAATTTGTTCTTTTGCCGCAGTATGTATTTGTAGGTGCCTTCAGAAGAATCAGGAGGGGAAATTGGAGGGGAAATATTGAAGCCGCATTGCAGTAAAGGTTTTACTCTTGTACTTCTGCTTTCGGGTTCGAATGGGATTGTGCAATCATTGTGGATGGATGGAACTTTATCAAAGAGTGTCATTATCTCTACAAATTATTCAGGAAAATGTCTTGGTAACTAGTGATTTTTTAAAATCTGAAGTGGCTTTCAGGCAATTGTAACATGTTCCTCTCTCAGCCATTGCATAGAAATCAATGCTGATGATTTTCTGCGATGGAAAATGGCTGGAATCTCTGCCAAGAAATTTGTAGCCTGTGCAATCAGGCCTCTTTCTCTCCCCTCTCCCCAAACAAATGCACATGTGTTAATGTGCACAGTAAGAGTTATCGCTGCTTAGTTGCTTAGTTAATCTTTGCTACGTTATAGATAGAGTATTTGTCTCGTCTTCCAATGCAGGAAAAGTTTATAAATCAACGTTTCTTACAGTTTTGGTTGCACCAAAGCTCCTGAGCTTTCTCTCTTTAAATCGTCAACTTTTCAGGGCAACTTCATGCTTTTGCAGCTGCCAGCTTGGCAAAAGTTTAAAAATTGCAAAATTGCCAGTGTTTACATTTTGACGTACAATGTTGCACGATTTCAACATGGATCGTTCAGTCCTGTTGTAGTATTACGTTGATTTACTTGCGCCTTGTGCAAAGAAAAAAAACCCTGCTTTGTTTTGCCTTTAAACAGTAAGATGTTTCTCTTCATGTAGATAAACCAAAGTCTCCTGCTGTAGTAATGAAGCCAGTGGAGCAGCCGAGTAAAGTTGAGGAACCTGTTTCTGTACCTGAGGAGGTGGCGGAGAATAAACCTGAAGTTGACACTAAAAGAAACTCTGAAGAGATGCCAGAGAGCCAAGCCATTGAGCCGGATGACACTACAGACCCCATCGTCACTTCTGACGTGCCTAAAACAGAAACTGCACCGCCTGATATTATTAATAATATTAACGATGATAATAACAATAATAATGATGATGACGGTGATGGGACGAACCCTTTGGTAGAACCTGTTTCCCTGCTTCCCGCTGCTGTAGAAATGCAAACAGTTGAGGCAGACGAGGAGCAAGAGCCACTGCAGGAGGTGGAGGACGAGGTATTACCGGTGAAGGACGAGACGTTACCGGTGAAGGACGAGACGTTACCGGTGAAGGACGAGGTGTTACCGGTGAAGGACGAGGTGTTACGGGTGAAGGACGAGGTGTTACGGGTGAAGGACGAGGTGTTACCGGTGAAGGACGAGGTGTTACCGGTGAAAGACGAGGTGTTACCGGTGAAGGACGAGGTGTTACCGGTGAAGGACGAGGTGTTACCGGTGAAGGTCGAGGTGTTACCGGTGAAGGACGAGGTGTTGCCGGTGAAGGACGAGGTGTTGCCGGTGAAGGACGAGGTGTTACCAGTGAAGCAAGAGGTGTTACCGGTGAAGGACGAGGTGTTACCGGTGAAGGACGAGGTGTTACCGGTGAAGGACGAGGTGTTACCGGTGAAGGACGAGGTGTTACCGGTGAAGGACGAGGTGTTACCGGTGAAGGACGAGGTGTTACCGGTGAAGGACGAGGTGTTGGCGGTGAAGGACGAGGTGTTGGCGGTGAAGGACGAGGTGTTGGCGGTGAAGGACGAGGTGTTGGCGGTGAAGGACGAGGTGTTGGCGGTGAAGGACGAGGTGTTGGCGGTGAAGGACGAGGTGTTGGCGGTGAAGGACGAGGTGTTGGCGGTGAAGGACGAGGTGTTACCGGTGAAGGACGAGGTGTTACCGGTGAAGGACGAGGTGTTACCGGTGAAGGACGAGGTGTTACCGGTGAAGGACGAGGTGTTACCGGTGAAGGACGAGGTGTTACCGGTGAAGGACGAGGTGTTACCGGTGAAGGACGAGGTGTTACCGGTGAAGGTCGAGTTGTTACCGGTGAAGGACGAGGTGTTACCGGTGAAGGACGAGGTGTTGGCGGTGAAGGACGAGGTGTTGGCGGTGAAGGATGAGGTGTTACCGGTGAAGGACGAGGTGTTACCGGTGAAGGACGAGGTGTTGGCGGTAACAGAGATGGTGGTGGATGCGGTGGTGGAAGAGAAGGAGGAAATAGTGGAGGAGGTGGTGGTGATGGAGGAGGAGGGGGTGGTTGTGCAGGAGGAGGAAGTGACGCAGGTGGTGAAGGAGGGAGAAAAAGTAAAGGAAGAGCTGGTGGTGGTCGCTGCTGTTGTTGCTAATGAACCCATCACAAAAGACTTATCGGTGGAAAGCAACGGTGTAGAGCTGCCAAAAACCGAGGTGGCTCAAGAGTCCGTAGCTCCAGTGGAATCCGCGCTGGATTCGCCCATCGCGCAACCAGAGGAATTGAATCTGACGAACGGCCTGGAGCCACTGCTGGAGCGGGATTCCGAGGTGTCAAAAGCGCAGCCCGAATCGGATGTCAGCCCCATCTCCGAACCAGAGGTGACGAAAGCCGAAAGTGCGGCAGTGGAGCTGGACCCCGAGGAGAAGGAGGAAGAGGACATGGCAGAGGGAGACGACCAGCTCCAGGACACCTCACCAACAGCAGCCGCTTGTTCCCAGATCTTTGACAATTCAGCACAAGGTATTGGAAATGCATTAGGCAGTCACTCGGGTGGTCGCTCCACATTCGTATCTGTGTGCATTCGTTGGTTTAAAATTTTTCGATGGGGGAAGCAATCGTAAAATGCTGCTTCCACTAATCCTTCAGTGCAGTTTTCTTTCTGAAAGTTGAAGACAGGAGATTGGCATAAAACTGAGAGCTCTTTTGGAGAGCCAGCACTGGCATGATGGGCTGAATGGCCTCGCTCTGTTGTAAATTTCTATGGATTGGAGTCTTGTCGTGTATTGGTTGGAGCACTCGCCTCACAAGCGAGAGGACCCAGGTTTGATTCCCGGCAGGACGAAACCTTGGGCAAATTTCCTTACTCCACACGCCTGATAATAATCCCTCAAAAAAAATAATAAATTGGTAATTTCAATCCACGACTGTTTGTGGGACGTTGCTGTGCGCAATTGGCTGCCGCGTTTTGCCCACAAATATAGTCAATTGACTTCACAGTCTATTCTGTGAAGTGCTTTGAGACGTCTAGAAGATGTGAAAAGCGCTATATCAAATGCAAGGAAAATTATTATTCCTGGGTGGGACGAAACCTTAGGCCAGTTTCCTTCCTCCACACACATGCCTCTTATTTATCTAGTAGTAAGTAGGAACCTGGTTGTTAGTCAATTGGAAGATCACTTTTCTGGGGTTATAAGGCGCTATATGAAATGCAAGGATCCCTTCAAAAAAATTAAAAAAATAACAATCATCTGGGCACTCAATCCACAACTGTGGGACTCTGCTGTGCACAATTATCTGCCGCGACTCACTCAAAAAATAGTCAATTCACTTTACAGTATATTCTGTGAAACGCTTTTAGACATTTTGACGACTTGGTAAGGTGCTTTACCAAATGCCAGGATTATTATAATGGTTTTTTGATAAGTATATCGAAGTTTGGACGACATTCAAGTTGGCAAGCAGTTATTGACAGATCTGACAATCTGTGGGTGGGAGGATTGCAAAAGTTTCCTCTTGAGTCCTGGTCTGGACGTCATTGCTCTTGGTCTCCTCTCCGAGGTACGCCATACTTGGGCAAGTTTCAAAGAAAATGGAACAGGCAGTTGCCATGCTGCACATCCCTGACCCATTTTAACCTATTGGCTAGTGAAATTTTAATATTAGAATATTTCACATTTTAGTTGTATATTAATCCAGCTCACATGACTTTGATCCGATGATGCAATATGTACAAAATGCAACTTTTCCTCTATAATAAGGCAGATTATTATCATCGGTTTCCTTGCCTAGCCCCTAATCTAATCTGTAATATGAATTTGTGGTTTACAGTACACAATGTGCTTCATAGTTCAGTGCCACTCAATGCCAGCCATTTTTCTAAATTAGAGATATTGCACATCACAGTGCCTCCATTCATGCACAAATCGTTACTATTCTAATGTTCGCTCCTGTTCAGATTGGCGGATCGGTTCTCCGGCGGTCATAATCCCTTCCAACAAAAAAAAATTATGGTCACTCATTCCACAACTGTTTGTGGGACGTTGCTGTGCACAATTGGCTGCCAGGTTTGGCCCACAAAATATACAGTCAATTCACTTTACAGTATGTCCTTTGAGACGTCTCGAAAACATTATAAGGCGCTATATCAAATGGAAATATTAGTATTATTTAGCATTGATAGCCTTTTTATTGAGGAGACTGCAGAATGTTGCTCATGACTTGCCCTTCTACCAGTTGCAATAAGATGATGAGACGGTTGACTATCCAGCTAAGAGTTGACCTTGTTATGAATCAATTAAACAGCTTCTGGTGCAGATCTGGAAAACAGTGCCCCCACCCTCTGGAATTCCATCCTGCAGACCCCCCGCCTCGCTCCCTCCCTTGCCTCCTTCAAGACCTTCCTCTTTGACAGTGTTTTCGATAAACCTGCTTCCCCCCGCTCCACCCTCCCTGATCTCGACCCCCAACTTGGGTCTGAAACTCTGACTGTCCAGCGCCTTGGGACGTCCTCCCGACGTGAAAGACGTTATACACATGTAATTTTGTTGTTGTTGTACTTTTTCATCAAGGTCATTGAATCCTTTCTCTTGTGTGACCAAATGTGTGTAGTGCAAGGAGGCAGCATTTTGGTGGTTAAGAGTTGAATTGGTTTCTCGTCTGAGGGTGGTGGGGAGGAAAGAGAGCTCAAAAATGACTTGTGATCAAATCTTTCCAGAAGAGAAGCAGTTTTGTTTTATGGTGAAATGTAACTTTCGGATCAAAGTCCCACTGATGTTCACACTTATGCAAATTCTATATTATGCAAATTCGGTAGCGAGTGGTCCCTATTCTCATAACCCTCTTCAAAAAGAAAATGCCTGTGGCACACCCACTTACGAATGTTGTTCAATGCCTGCTGTGTTTTTTTTCTTTAGCCGCAGCAGTCTCCGTGCCAAAGAGGAAGAGGAAGATGAAGGAGCTGAACAAGAAGGAAGCAGTCGGTGACCTATTAGATGCTTTCAAAGAGGTGACTGATTTGCTTTGCCTCGTGTGCTTTTAATGACTGCTCAGGGAAGCTCAAGGAGTGAAATGCCACTCCACGCGGAGTAAATTCGGCACGACCACTCGGCTCTGTTGTCTGCAATTACATGGCATGACCCCCAAGCGTAGCATTCTGCAACTTGACCGCCCCCTCCCCCCCGCACACACCTTTCGGGTGGAATGGGGGTACATAAGGAGCAGGAGCCTGTCATTCAGAGTCACTCCACTTCACAATATATTCTGTGAAGCGCCTTGACATGTCTCAGCAACATAAGCCACTATATCAAATGCAACTGTTATTATTCAGCCTGTCTACCAGTTTATCAGTTCATGGCAGAACTGCCTATTTTCCCACCCTATTTCTGCATGCTTGCTCTTACTTTGTGTGGGTCTAAATATCCCGATTGATTCTATCCTTTTAAACTTCCCATTGATTCTCCTTCTATCGCTTTTGGGCAGTGAGCTCCACGTCCTCCAGTCGTTAACTGAAACGTTGCCTGACCATTCCTAGCTCAAATTTTTACAGTTGGCGCCTTGTTTTGGATCCTCTACCAGAGGGAGTAGCTGATAACTATTTAGCTTGTCAATTCTTTGCTGCTTTAAATGCCTCGATCAGATTACCACTTGCTGTTCCCATCTCAAAGGGATACAACCCAAGTCTGCCAAGACTCTCAATATAGCTAAGACCCTTAACCCAAGGTATTAATCCAGTGAATCATTGCTGGATGCTCTCCAAGGCTAGTATATCCTTTCTAAGATTGGGTGACTGAACACAATAATCCAAACGAGGTCGGAGCAACACTTTATATACAGGAGAATCACTTCCTTGCTTTATATTCCAGGTCCCTTGTTATAAAGCCAGGTATGCCATTAGCCTTATTGATTGCTTTCTGCACCTGTGAACTGAATTTTAATGACTAACTTTGTCTGGTATTCTGCAACTTCATAAGACATTAAACCAGAGATGAGGGCAGCATTTCTATCGGGCCTCTTAAATCTTTCACAATTCAATTTGGTGGATGTATAAATAATGATTTCCCAGCTTCCCCCCGCCCATCCCCAGGTCCCGAATCAGCCGTGTGAAGCATTTAAAGATGTTCTCCTGGCGTGAAAGGCGCTATAAAAATATGAAGTTGTTTTCACCCACAAAATATACAGTCAATTCACTTTACAATATATTCTGTGAAGCGCATCTCGAAGATGTGATAAGGTGCTATATCAAATGCAAGGATTATTATTAACGTGATGTTGGAAATTTCTCATTGGGTTGAGTTTGCTGGGGAGTGAGTCTGATTGACTGACTGAGTGTAAAGGAAATGGTTGATGATGGGGTAACATTGGTAGCAGGTGGAATGTCTGGTACAGTTGATATTTCCAGCAATCTGCGCGTTCCCACGTTGTCATGTTCAGGGGGATCTTCCAAGACCTCAGGAAGCGAACCCATCCTTCGTCAATCGTGCTAAGAATCTAAACTTAATGCAATGCATTTCCTCTGTAAGATGGGGATCAAACTGACCTGTATTTCCCCTGCAGTCTGAAGTAAAGGAGCTTACCACAGACAATGAGGCTCTGCCCCCTGCTGTAGCAACTGATGTGAATGAGAGGATTCCTACCCGCGATGAGCCTGAGGAGACCTGGGAAGAAAAGGAGGATAAACTGGGCACGAAGAACATCAAGCCGGATGCAATCAAAATCTTAGATCAGAAATACCAATATAAAGAAGGTGAGCTGCTGGCGATACTATATTCAGTACGTGAATACGTAAAAAATATAGTTTGTAACCTGACAAATGTAACTAAGGGTAAAATGAGCTATTTTAACACGTTCCCTCCTGAAGCTTCTCAAAGCTGTATAGTGGAGTAAGTAATTTTGAGGGAAATTTTCAACGTGGCAGTATGATTTTACACACCCTACAACCTATTATCATTGTGAATTGAATTTCTTAGCTGATGTATTGCCTTATTTTTTCCCCCCCACCCCATCTTCTAATGGAATGACAGTAATTTTGCCCACAAATCCAGTCACTACACTTCGGATTATTATTATCTCCTTTTGCACGTGGAAGTTCGTCGATGTGAAGAGATAAGAAAGAAAAGGGATACATACATATGGGGTTGACCACATACAGTAAACTCTGGAAAACTTGACCCGGGCTTAACTTGTTACTACAACTCAAGTCATCATTGTTGTCAGTATCTCGGCTACATTTATTTATGTATTTATACACGTGCCTAATTTGTCACTCTGGGTAGCTCATCACTGAGACCTTTTCCCTTGGAGTGATGAGCTATCAGGAGTTTACATGTTGCGTACAGTCCTGCAGAGTAATGGTTTGAGCACTTGCCTCGCAAGCGAGAGGACCTGGGTTCGATTCCTGGACAGGTCGGGGCGAAACCTTAGACAAATTTCCTTACTCCACACTCCTCTGTTTACCTAGCAGCATGTAGGAACCCGGTTGTTAGTCGATTGGTAGATTGCTTTTCTGGGATATAAGAGACTGTATCAATGCAAGGATTATTATTATTTTGTAATTGCGAAGAGCTCCTCCTGTATTTCACTGAGACTTGATGTTGTTTCCATTTACCTTCACTAGAAAATTGGAAACCGCTTAATCCAGAGGACAAGAAGAAGTATGACCGTGAATTTCTCTTGGGCTTCCAGTTTATCACAGCGAGCATGCAGAAACCCGAGGGTCTGCCTGCCATCAGCGATGTTGTTTTGGATAAGGTACGCAGCATCTCTGTCCACATCAAAGCAGCTTTGTAAAATACAACAACAACTTGCACTTATATAGCGCCCCTTGTGCAGGGTAGCGTCCTAGAGTGCTTGACAGTGGCAGAACATGACGCAGATCCAGGTGTAGGGGGAGGTGACCGTGGCACAGTCAAATTGGAAGGTCTTCAGGCGTGATCTGAAGATGGGGAAGGAAGGGACAACGCAGAGGGATAGAGGAAGAGTGTTCCAGAGTTTCAGGGCGTAGTGCCTGAAAGTGTAACCACTGATGGTGGAATGAAGAGCACAAAGGACATGTAGCAGGAAGCTGGAGCCAGTTGAGGGGAGGCAGCGGGTAGTGGATTCTAGTACAGTAATTTGGGGCAGAATAAGCTCAGTTGTGCTGAAACTTAAATTTGCATTGCTGGGAGGGACGTTGTTGGGAGTATGAACAATAATGTACCAGTTCAGTTGCTATATAAAAAAGCTAAGTATTAAATGATTTATTTTTTAGCCAGTCCCTCTGGATTTTATCTGAAAATTGAGCTTCAGTAAAAAATAACTCTTCCCTTGTTAAGCATCATTATACAACACAATTTATGTTTCTATCACGCCTTTCACATCGGTAAGACAGTTTCAAAGTACTTTACACAGCTGGCTGGCCACCTTAGCCAGGGAAAGGGGGAGAAGAGAGAGTGAGCTGAAGAGGGTGTGGGCTGGTTGTGTGGGGGAGTGGGGAGGAAGCGCAGTCAAGGAGAGGTGTTAAGGTGGGCATTATCCCACCCTGTGACCTGTACTTCCTACCCTTAAATTACAGAAACCAGTATCGCTTATAATCTACAGTAGTGGGTAACTTGCTTTCCCATGCATCAGTACCTCTTTGTGCTTGTAAAATCAGCTCCACCAAAATGTCGTGGATAGCTGTTGTGTGATTTATTGAGTTCACATAATACAGTAAGCAAAAAAAATGAAGGTGACCATTTAGCAATTCATTGCATCAGTAACGAGCACTGAAAAGGCTGCTTACATTTTTCAGTCCATGTGATTCATGCCAGGCTCAGACACGCATTCATTGCCGGTCAGGAAATGGAGACCATCTTCTGACTAAGAACGTAAGAATTTGTTAAGCGAAAGAAGACTAAGGTCCATCCAATTCGCCTTGCACCATCCTGGCAGTCACTTACACACGTCATGTCCCAAATTATATATTGTATGACGTGATATCATTTCCTAACAGAAATCTATTTCATTTGCTCTTGAAAGAATAATAATGTTGTAAAGCTTCAGAACATAAGTCAGGGTGGTGTGATTAAAACTGGAAATGCTATTGTGGGTTTGCATACATCAGAGTGTGCGTCTTGTGCTTACAATGTGTTGTGAAGATCATTGTTTAACGATGATTTGATTGTATATTTCTTGTTTTATTGCAACAGTTAAGTAGCACGATCGTTTGCCCATACTAACCTGTTGAGTATTGCCCAAAAGATGTCGCTTTACTTCAATGTTGCACAATCTCCCCAAAACATTCTTGTGCCAAATCAATAGGCTCCACGTCACCCACCAGGAACATTCTCGTTAGAACATGCCAGCGTTAAGTTTTTGTTTGAAATGAGATTTGTTTTCACAGGCAAACAAGACTCCACTTCGCCCTCTTGATGCGAGCAGACTAACTGGAATGAGTTGTGGGCCAGACTTCACCCCTACTTTTGCTAATCTGGGAAGGCCACAAATTCTAAGAGGCCCAGTAAGTATGGGAATGGCGCAGGTATTATAGAGCAAAAGGCAGTTGATACGAGAAGGATGATATCTGGATTGTAATGCATAGCCGGGCGAAACGTTGGACAAGTTTCCTTACATCACACGCCTTTTTGTTTACCTAGCAGTAAGTAGGAACCTGGTTGTTAGTCGATCTGCAGATCATTTTTACTGGGGTAATAATTCCTTAAAAAAAATAATAAATTGGTCACTCAATCCAGGACTGTTTGTGGGACGCTGCTGTGCGTAATTGGCTGCTGCATTTCGCCCACAAAATATACAGTCAATTCACTTTAGAGTATATTCTGTGAAGCGCTTTGAGACTTCTCGAAAATGTGATAAGCGTTATATCAAATGGAAGGATTACTATTATGTCCTAACATTTTAAAGTACCAGGTGTTAAAACTGGTGGATTAAAGTGCAGTGTTAACACTGAAATACATGGACCTCTGCAGACTGACCGCCACAGTTTAGAGCTGTGTTTTACTGCATATTACAGTGCATTTCAAAGTTATTCAGCACACACAGGATGGTTCCCACTTATCTCAAAGATTCACACCCAGAGGTCCTGATCAATGTTAATGGGCACAAACGCTTGCAGTACCTTTTGCCAAGCGGAGTATTCCTTTAAGCATAGTGCTGTGCAGCCACTGTACACAGTAGTATGACATGATGTATTGTGATGCACCTGCCTTAGTACTCATGCTCAGCTAGTTTTTGCTTGTAGCCTACAGGTGTCGGCCCTAGAAGATCTCAGCAAAGCCAGAGGAAAGATCATCCTCAGCGTAAAATCATCCCTAGCGTCCCTATGAACGACGAAATCCAACTCAAGAAATCAGAGAATGCATGGAAACCTGGTGTGAAGAAACCAAGTGAGGAGGATGAACCAGTCTTGGTGCAAACCCAGGTAATGATGGTATAATTACCTGGTGCCCTGTAGCTCAGTGCTAGAACACTTGCCTCACAAGTGAGAGGACCTGGGTTTGATTTCTGGCAGGGCGAGATGTTGGGCAAGTTTCCTTACTCAACAAACTTCTGTTTACCTAGCAGTAAGTAGGAACACGATTACTCCGTCCTTGCCAGACTGCACTGGCTCCCTGTCCCAGAGAGGATCGACTTCAAGATCCTCACTCTTGTCTTCAAATCCTTCCACTCCTTTGCACCCCCCCCCACCTCTCTGACCTCTCTCTTCACAACAGTATCCGTTGCCTTCATTCCACCGGGTCTGGCCTCCTCCTCGTCCCCAGAGTCCTCCGCTCCACCCTCGGGGGCCGTGCTTTCAGCCACTACGCCCCGAGGCTCTGGAACTCCCTTCCTCACTCCCTTCGCCTCGCTCCCTCTCTTATTATTTTCAGGTCTCGGCTGAAGACCTTTTCGACCGCGCCTTTGGTCACCTTTCTCCCCCTCCACCTGGCTCGGCCCCGGGATCCGTTACTGTGAAGCGCTCTGAGACGCCGTCCGGCGTGGAGGGCGCTATATAAATCCAAGTTGTTGTTGTTAGTCGATTGGCAGACCGCTTTTCCGCGGATAATAATTCCTTCAAAAAAAAATTATTTGGTCACTCAATCCATGACTGTTTGTGGGACTCTGCTGTGCACAATTGGCTGCTGCATTTCACCCACAAAATATACAATCAATTCACTTTACAGTATATTCTGTGAAGCGCTTTGAGATGTCTCGAAGATGCGATGAGGCACTATATCAAATGGAAAGATTATTATTATAAAGGGCATGATTTAACCCTCTCACGCTCTCTCACTCTCTCTTACACTCACAAATAGGGTCTTGCTCATTTAGATTTGACGCTCTAGTTTCCAACATTCTGAATAAGTATTTGATAGATATTTAGGCTCCTGCAGGCCATCTTCTCTATAATCGTGGTCAATTAGAGAAGATAGTCTGCAGGAGCTTAAATACCCTTGGAAATTGTTTTCAACCAGATTGTCATTTGTAAAAAGCAGAAGCCATGTAACACGGGTGGCCAATGCTGCCACCGGTTGCTAGGTTTATGTTTAGGAAGTATTGTACTCTATTTTGAAGCTCATGGAGCCCTGCCATTTCAGTCTTGCTTGCCTAGTGACATTACAGGCACATTGGCTGTGTGCATTCCGCAGCAGAGCAATTTGCTTCACTGGGGACGGACGCTTTGAACTGTCCTGAGGTTGTGCAAGCTTAGGTCGATCACTGCGTACTCCCAACCTGTTCTGCTTATTTAACCATCAGTTCCCCCCAGACATTTTAAGCATGTTGTAAAAACATTTTAAAGAGTGATTAATCTGTTTGTCTGTCTGTTTGTTGTCTAGGAGCTGTTCCGCAGAGTGCGCAGTATTCTGAACAAGCTCACACCCCAGATGTTCCAGCAGCTGATGAAGCAGGTGGCAGATTTAACCATCGACACCGAAGAGAGGTTAAAGGGTGTGATCGATCTGGTCTTTGAAAAGGCCATTTCCGAACCCAACTTCTCTGTTGCCTATGCCAACATGTGCCGCTGTCTCACTACAGTAAGTGTCTTTAGCCACCGGAGCTGTTTGCAGCGAATTAACCAGTGTCTTGTGTTTCCAGCGTTTCCTTGGACTTTTTTCTTCTAGCAATTTCTATGTTTCTATTGTCAGGTGCTGTATCACCTCTGTTCTGTTTCTCTGCCGTGTGAAGGCTTATCTGGGTGGTGTTTGATTGGGGTATTTGTTGGGTCCATGGTGAACTCTTAATGCATTTGTTCTGTAGCTTAGTGGTTAGAGCGCTCGCCTTGCAAGTGAGAGACCCAGGTTTGATTCCCGGCAGGGTGAAATGTTGAGCAAGTTTCCTTATTCCACGTGCCTCTGTTTATCCAGCAGTAAGTAGGAACCCGGTTGTTAGTTGACTGGTGGATTACTTTTCTGCGGGGTAATAATCCCTTCATAAAAATAGTAATTTGGTCACTCAATCCATGACTGCTGTATGCAATTGGCTGCCATATTTCGCCCTCAAGGTATATAGTCAATTCATTTTACAGTATATTCTGTGAAGCACTTTGAGATGTCTCAATGCTGTGATAAGGCGCTATATCAAATACAAGGAGTATTATTGTTATGGCTTTTCGGTCATTGGGATTCACAACTCTCATCCCTCTCACTCCCAAGATTTTGTGGCTGAGAGATGAAGAGTCAAGCAGGCAAATAACCACGGCAAACACGAAACCCAGGTTCTCACTGGCCTGTACACAGCGTGTGTGTTTATACATAAGAAGAGCAGACTGAGCATGGAGTTTACAACCCCACAGATTATGATGTCCAAGTAGTTATTTTATTGATCATTATAGGGTATACCATAGGGTGTCCATGAAGTCATGTTACCCTCTGTTACAAAACAATGACTTGAGAAGCTGTAAGAGATGCTTTTCGCCTCCATCCACGACACAAACCAAATATGGTCCCGGATCATTATCTGCCATGAAAATAGTGGCGCTCACACTCACCCAGATCCTCTGGACATCTAAATACAATTAAACACTTGCACTGAATACAATGAAGTAACTTCTAAATACAATGATCATTACATTCTTCCACATGTTTCAGTTGTTGGTCAGTGCACTGTTGATAAACAAACTATGGGAGTAACAGGACTTTGTAGACACCCTGTATAATGTTTCATGTCTTCTCCCCTCCCCGCCTCCCTTCAACAAATGCGTTGTGAGTAGTCTCTCAATCAGTTTGTTCTGTATGTAGCTCAATACCTTATTGTTCGTTCCGGTGCTCTTCCACAGCTGAAAGTTCCAACGTCAGACAAGCCAGGAGCCATGGTGAACTTCCGCAAGCTGCTGTTAAACCGCTGTCAAAAGGAGTTTGAAAAAGACAAAGACGATGATGCGGTGGTCGACCAGAAACAGAAGGAAATCGACGCCGCTGTTTCGGTAACTTCATTTGTTGAAACTCTTAAGTCATTGAGAGAGATTTTTGGGAATCATTTGGGGGGAATGCGAGGGTAAGCGGGGCCTCCCTGGAGCTGAACTAGCTCCAAGGTGACATGTTTGTCAATGGATTGTCGGAATTGAGCCAGTCCTCTCTGGCATTCTTGGTCGTTGGATTCCTGAGCCAGGCGGGTCCACAGTATTCCAGGGCACTCACTGCTGACGACAGCACAACCCAGCCTAACACATCGGCAGAACTTGGAAGGGCAGACCAGTCACTGGGGGCAGGGAATCCTCCCACTCCTCTCCTGTCAATCCTTTAAGCCAAAGCCCTAATGAGAAGGGTTGTCCTAGCTGGACAAGCAGTGGGAAAGCTTGAGAGAAGGCAAGATGGATCTGTCCCTATTTGTGCATTTTGTTTTTATTTTCGTTGAATCTTGATCCATCTATTGATTTGTCATAAATCCAGGTTACACTGATGCCAGTTGATGCAAGTCTACGTGTGATTAAAGTGTAGGGACACCTTTCTTGTGTAATAAACTGCAAAGTTACTGAACGTCCCGGTTTAGCATGTTGAATCTGTAACACTGGAGTGTTTTTCCATTGCAGTCTGAAGAGAAGACTCGTCTCCAAGAGGAGCTGGTGTATGCCAGAGACAAAGCCAGGCGACGATCGCTTGGAAACATCAAATTCATTGGTGAACTCTTCAAATTAAAAATGCTAACAGAGCCAATTATGCACGACTGTATAGTAAAGCTGCTAAAGAATCATGATATGGAGTCGCTGGAGTGCCTGTGCAGGTTATTAACTACAATAGGCAAAGACTTGGATTTTGAAAAAGCCAGAGTAAGTTGCAGAGACTCTCTCCACAAACTTACTTTGCAAGTTGATGGTAGATTGGCCGTGATGTCACCTCTGTGTATGAGATAAGCTAATCACAATCTTACGTCTCTCCTATAGCCTAGAATGGATCAGTATTTTAATCAGATGGAAAAGATAATTAAAGAAAGGAAAACTTCATCTAGGATTCGTTTTATGCTGCAAGATGTGATCGACCTTCGACGGGTGAGTTCAGATGAGATGAAGTGGTCAATAGCTGTGTCCAAGCAAATATGAATAGTTTAATAATATTAAAGCATTAGGGATATCTGTACATATGTACATACAGCAACAACAACACTTACATTTACACAGGGCCTTTTATGTCAGGAGAACGTCCCAAGACGCTGGACAGTCAGGGATTTGGACCTGAGCTGGGGGTTGGGATCAGGAAGCGGGGAGGGTAGTGGTGGGAGGGTGACCGAAGGTCGTATAATTCTACAATACAAACGTACGTGTATTGTACAAACCAGGATCTCTTTACATTTGGTTAATCTTGGGTTTCTAAAGCTTCTGTTATCCAGTGTTTGATCATTGCATTGGTAGTGTTTTGAGCAGCTACAATTTGGATGAGAATAAATTATGCAACTGATCCCAGTGATGCTGGCCTGGGATACACAGGGTTCCTGAGCAGCAATGTAGACACAACAACAAGTTGCACTTATATCGTGCCCTCCGCACGGGGTAGTGTCTCAGAGCACTTGACGCCACAGCATATCCACGCTTGCCGTCAGCCCTGGCAAGTGTGGTGTACAAAAATATGCTCAAAGCAATCTCCAGCCTTTTAATACAGGAAGGTTCTCAATTCTGGAAGTTTCCCTTGCCAACAGCTGGACCAAACTGTCGAGGTGATTGCTGTTCACCAACAACAAACAAATTACATTTGTATAGTGCCTTTCACATTGGGAGGACGTCCCAAAGCGCTATTCCTCTGTGAACCACAGTCCTATCCATTTATTCCACATTGTAACTTTTTTTAGTTTAAATACCAGAAATATTTGGGGTTAAATTATAGCAATGAGAGTTGGAAGTTGCAACTTTTTTTTTAAATGTTCAGTCTGTCCAATCTTATAGAAAAAAAATTGTGTGTTTCTTTTTAAACAGTAATGTGCTGTTTCACTTGTGCTTTCAGAACACCTGGGTGCCTCGCAGAGGTGACCAGGGACCCAAGACACTGGAACAGATTCACAGAGACGCTCAGATAGAGGAGCACCAAAACCAGCTCAAAGTTCAGCAACAACTTCTGACTAAACAGGACAAGAGGAGAGGGACTGGAGGCAGCAGCGGTGGTGTCAGTGGTGAGAGTTTATTTAATATTACTGAGGGCCGGCATAGGAATAATAAATAAATAAAAACAGAAGTCGCTGGGAACACGCAGCAGGTTAGGCTGCATCTATGGAGAGAGGAAAATGAGTTAACGTTTTAGGTCGATGACTTTTCGTCAGGGTGGGGAAAGGAAGTTTTTAAAATATCTAGCAACAGTAGTTAGGCTTGGAAACCCGCTAGTTAAAGGCCAGCGGCGGCTTTCTCTTGTCTAGACTGAAAAGAAATATTTTAAACATTGACGTAAGTAGGTCTGGAGACGGCAGATCTTCAACGAGGTGAGGGAGGCAGCAAGTCGGAGGGACTCCCTGCAGGATGGAGTCCCAGAGGGTTGGTTGGTGGGGCTTTCAGGGTGGGAGGCATGAAGCGGGGCTAAAGAAGTAGCCAGAGAAGGTTTGAGGCAGTGTCCGTGATAGGATAGGAAACGACTAGTGGAAGTTACACCATACATTTCGGAAAGGTGTGAAAGGTCATCATTTTGCCCTGTTGTTGACCATGCGTGAGTTTATTGAAAAGCCTCTTTGTGTTACTCTGAGACTATAATGATGTGCTTCTTTTAGGTGGCAGGAGCAATCAGGGGGTGGATGAAGCGGGGTGGAACACCGTGCCAATTGCTAAGAGTAGCAGACCTATCGACCCCTCTCGGTTATCCAAGATTACTAAGGTAAACGTTGTTTCTCTCTTTTCCACCCCCTGGTATCCCCAATTCCACCCCCAATTGAGCCTATGTCATTGTTATTGTTTGTAGTTATGTGCAGAATTATTTGATTTTAAAAACTCTCTTGTGTTTAATTCCTAGCCTGGAGCCATCGATTACAGCAATCAGCTGCTGGCCCCCGGAGGCCGCCTTAGCTGGGGCAAAGGGAGCAGCGGTGGATCTGGGAGCAAACCCAACGATGCAGGTAATTGTCACAGGGCGATGGCAAGCCGTATAATAAGGTTTGGTCAATGGCACACAATAGGCTCCCATTGAGCCAGTGCTTCTAGTCTGCCGATATTCCATTGAAGTGCGAGCGAAGGCCGGTAAATGGGACTGAATAGATTGCTCTTTCAAAGAGCCAGCACAGACATGGTGGGTCGAATGGCCTTCCTCTGCCCTGTAAATTTCTGTGGCTAATAGTAATAATCCTTGCATTTGATATTTCACGTCGCTGAGTTGTCTCAAAGCACTCCACAAGATACACTGGAAAATTGAGTCACTTTATTTTGTGGGCGTGACATAGTAGTCAGTTCTGCACAACAACGTCCCACAAACAGTCATGGAGTGAGCGACCAAATTTATTTAGGGGGATTGTTGGCCAAGACACCGAGAGAGAGATGCCCTTCTCTTTTCAAATAGTACATCGATTTAAATCTGCTCTGCTGCAATTCGTAACTTGTATTGGATTCTAAGCTCAAGGCTCAAGTGGTGACCACAAATGATGGGAAAAGCCTTTACGTTTGTCTGCAACCGTTGGCAGGTGGGCCTTCAGCTACTCTGCCCCCACCCTCTGGAACTCCATCCCGCAGTCCCTCCGCCTCGCCACCTCCCTTGCCTCCTTTAAGACCCAGCTCAAGACCCTCCTCTTCGACCATGCCTTCAATAACCCGTCTTCCCCCTTCCCAACCCTCAGCTCGGGTGCAAAACTCTGACTGTCCAGCACCTTGGGACATCCTCCCGACGTGAAAAACGCTATACAAATGTAATTTTGTTGTCGTTTCCCCCCCTGACGGCAGGCCAGTGTGGTGATTGTGTGTTGGTTTCCCTTTGTGTAGGTGTGGATCCAGGCAGGGCAGCCACAGCCACTTTGAACAGATTCTCTGCTCTGCAACAGTCATCCACAGATAGCTTCGATGCCCGCAGGGTTGTGCCCAGGTAAGAATTCAGGCTCTCTGCTGGCATTCTTGCTTCTGTACAGAGTGTTCCGAGACACTACACTGCACAAAGGTGCTGAATGAATCAACGAGTTGTTGGGAGTCCAAAGCAGTGACCTCAGTCTTGCTCGATGAATGTTTAATTTTCTGCCCCACAAATGAGGGTAAGAGTTTAATCTACTTTTGATTGGAATGTTGGAACATATCGAGCGATGCACGGCAGGCTGTACCGAACAAATTGCTTGAGCCTCCTTAATTAGGCAATTCACCAAACAGTTCTAATTAATCATTAAGGGCACCTATTATCTGCTCGAGACACATGTGTTTACATGTATGGTGCGCAGTACAATGGGGTTCAGTGTGCCTGGGGATGTGCCCGCTTGGTGAGGATGTGAAAAGTTGCCCCGTGAGTTATATTAGCATAGCCTTAATATTGATGAATACAGTCGTGTGTAAGCATCGTGCCACAAATCAGTCAGTATTATTAAGTGAAGAATGTGGATTCTTGCAAAGATTACATTGGTAAAAGTGCATACGTACAGTGGAATGACTCCAAACTGTACAGAGACTGAGTGGGAGCTTGAGAAGGCTAGGTGGCGGCCGTTCATTGGGTTTTGAAGTGAGTGAGGTGGAAGAATTTGGGGTGAGAGTTCCAGTGTGAGTTGCTGCAAGGATTACGTGGGCAGGCAGGTGCGTTGGAGCCATCTTCCTAAGATGTTGACACAAGATCTGAGAATTGCAACCACTTTTATGAACCTCTGTCTCGGTGTAAAAAGCCTGTCATACTGCTGTTTATATGAAAAAAATTGACCTGAAAGAAAAAACAGCTTCATGCGGTGTTAAATTATAGACCAGGCTGATGTGTGGGAACGTTTGCATATATTTGAGCAGGTAGCAAACCTTGGCTTGACACTTTGTACTTCAATAACCCGGTTTAAAAACAAGACTAGGAGTGGGCTGTGATTTTTGTTGGGTCAGGGTATCGAGGGATATGGGGTAAGGGCGGATAATTGAAGTGAGGTACAGATCAGCCATGGTCTTATAGAATGGTGAAACAGGCTTGAGGGGCTGAATGGCTTACTGCTGTTCCTATGAGAAATGTTAACTGATTATCTCTCTGCCAACAGGACTAGTTCAAGTCGAGATCGGAGTGAGAAGGGGGATCGAGAGCGAAGCGAAAGGATCGAGAGGTTAGACAAACCAGAAAAGGCCGAGCGCATCGACAAGAGCGAGAAGAGCGAGCGATTCGACAAGCCCGAACGGGTTGAAAAGAGCGAGAAAAGCGACAAGACCGACAAGACGGAGAGAAGCGAGCGCAACAGGCCTCTGCTCACAAAGAGGAGCTACAGCAAAGAAGTGGACGACCGGAGTAGGGAGAGGGAACGTCGCAGCTCACAGGAACCAGTCAGGCGGGTTTCCAGCATGACAGAGGAGAGGGACCGAGGGCACGAGAGGGACCGCAGCAAAGAGGCTGGTAGGTTGTCCTCTGGCTCCGGGTGTTGCCATTTGTACTTTACAGTGAAGGCCTGTCTGTATTTTATCTCTTGTCTTCTGTAACTTGATCTTTATTCCCTTGAGTTTGGAAGGTTATGGGATGATCTGATTGAGGTGTTAATAAAACGATAAAGGGATTCAATAGGATAGCTAGAGAGAAACTATTTCCCCTGGTAGGGGACTCCAGAACATAGCAGCCATCATCTTAAAATTAGAGCTAGACCATTTAGGAGTGAAATCAGGAAGCAGTTTTTTACGCAAAGGGGAGTGGAAATCTCTTCCCCCCCCCCCAAAGGCTGAGGTTGCTGGATCCATTCACATTTTCAAGACTAAGGTGGATAGATTTTTGTTAGGTCACGGTATCAACGAGTATGGGGCAAAGGTGGGTATTTGGAGCTGAGGTACAGATCAGCCATGATAGAACGGACTGCACGGCGTACTCCTGTTCCTGTGCGGGTTGAATATTGAAAGTAGTTTATAGCTTCATGTTTAAATGTGTAAAGCACAAATTCCAATCTGCTGGCAAAGCAACTCAGCAACAACAATAAACAACAACAGTGACAACAAATCACATTTATAAAGCGCCTTTCATATCAGGAGGATGCCCCAAAGCGCTTTACAGGATATACTGTAAAGTGTAGTGACAGTGTTTTGTGAGCGAACTAGTTTAATTTTAAGCCATGACTAGTCAGAGGTATCCTGATTAATCTCTTCAGAGAATAAGCACCAGTGTATTTTCTATGGCAGAGTTGCAGGCTATGATATTTAGGGATATTTATTGCTTTAGGGAGAAAGTATCTGCTGTCTTGGAATTGAGAGATGTTTGGTGTGGGAGGGAATGTGTTTCACATTGAGTTGAAGATTAGCTTCAGTAAATGTTTGTTGGGTGATCAGAAAGTGGCTAAATGAGAGCTGTGAAATTGTGTGGTCATGCCTTATATTTAAGCTAGTTACGCCCACAAAAGACACAGTCATAACACTTTACAACAACAACAAAATTACATTGGTTTAATGCCTTTCGCGTTGGGAGGATGTCCCAAGGCACTGGACAGTCAGTGTCTCGGACCTAAGCTGGGGGTCGGGATTAGGGTGGGTGGAGGGCAGGAGGGGAAGCAGGGAGATCGAAAGCACGGTCGAAGAAGTGAGTCTTGAGGTGGGTCTTGAAGGAGGCAAGGGAGCGGGCGAGGCGGAGGGACTACGGGATGGAGTTCCAGAGGGTGGGGATAGAGTGGCAGAAGGCAGAAGGAGTTGGGAAGGCCGACGAGCAGGAAGTTTGCATTGTCGAGCCTGGATGTTATGAATGCTTGTATGAGGTTTTCGGCGGCCTGTGGTGTGAAACAGTGGTGGAGCCGGGTGATGTTGCGGAGGTGGGGGAAGGCAGAGCGAATCATGGCACAGATGTGGGATAGAAAGGATAGTTGAGAGTCAAACAAGACCCCAAGGTTCCTGACTGGTTTAGTAAGGTGGACTGTGCATCCTTGGATTGTGTTGCTGTCAGCGCCTGAGGTATGAAGGCGCTGACGGGAGTCAATCAGGAGAACCTCGGTCTTGTTGACGTTCAACTGAAGAAAGATGGCTCTCATCCAGAACTTAATTTCTGACATATATTCTGTCAGTGGTCTGGAGTCGAGGGTGGAGGCAGAGAGGTACGCATACATGTGGAAGTTGATCCCGTGTCTGCGGATTATGTCACCAAGAGGCAGCATATAAATATTGAAGAGGAGGGGACCAAGGACAGAGTCCTGAGGAACATTGCACAAGATGGTGCAGGGGCTAGAGGAGAAGCCGTTTGACAGTGAATCCTGTGAAACACTTACACAGTGAAAACTGAAAGATGCTGACACCAGTGATGCTATGTGATGATTAATAGTGTTATCTCTTTTAAAACTAGTTAAACTTGAGCCCATCTCCACACCAGTGCCATCCAAGTCTGCCCTGTCTGAGGAGGAGCTGGAGAAGAAATCCAAGGCCATTATTGAGGAATACTTGCATATCAATGACATGAAGGTAAGGTCAAGCAAAGGGTACAATATAGTCATTCAACAACAGCAACATTACATTTCCAATCAGGAGGATGTCCCAAGGTGCTGGACAGTCAGGGATTTGCACCCGAGTTGGGGATGGGATCTGGAAGGGTGGAGGGCAAGTTGGGTGGGGGTAGGAGGTAATCTAGAGGCATGGTTGAAGAAGAGGGTCTTGAGACGGGACCTTGAAAGAGGCAAGGAAGGGAGCGAGGCAACGGGACTGTAGGATGGGGTTCCAAAGAGTGGGGGTGGAGAGGCTGAAGGCCCGTGTTAAAACCGTATTATTGCGAAAATGTTGCTGCATAGAGAGGTTTTGTCTTTGAACGCATGTTCTGAAAATTAACATGGTGTAAGGTGTGTTTTGTATGGTCCATTTTCTTTCGAGTATCATATATGTCAGTATATAACACGTTGTGTTATGACGTGCTCTGGTGCTCAGCAACGCTGAGGTGCTTTCCAGAATTGATGGGGTTGGCATCCTCAGCACATCCTTGTAATTGCCATGTTTATATTGGTGGCAAGAGAACATTTGGTTATTAAATGTGATGACTTATGACAGCGTTTCGCCTGCGTCCTTCCCTTTCATGGGGATGGATCTCTAGGAACAGAGGAACAGGAGTAGGCCATTCAGCTCCTCGAGCCTGTCCCACCATTCTATTAGATCATGGCTGAACTGAACCTCGACTCCCAGTTACCTGCCTTTGCTCCATATCTCCAAAAGGCAACTGAAAGCTTTTCGATTGTGTTTCAGGAAGCGTTGCAATGCGTACAGGAGCTCGACTCGGCCAAGGTCTTGCACATCTTCGTGCGAAGCGGCGTTGAGTCGACTTTGGAGAGGAGCGCGATCGCGAGGGAACACATGGGGATGCTGCTCTATCAGCTCGTCAAAGCTGGGACTCTGTCAAAAGAACAGTATTTCAAAGGGTGCGTATTGGATCACATCCCAACAGGACCTTCAATAGGGTTTTGTGGTTCCTGATTATTTATGTGAAATTGAAGCCCTGGAGGTTACTGTGTCTGGAACGTTGCATCGTTCTGTCTCATCTTTATTTTCATTGCTGTAAAGTCTTGCAGATTCTTCTTGCTCGGCTCCTGTTATAACTCTGTGAGCCCAAACCCTGGCGGGAGCCAGATGAGCGGAGGTAGTGGATTGGGGGGTAAGCAAGTCGAAGAGGTAAGAAAGGGGCCAGTGCATGAATGGATTTGAAGACTTGTGTGAAGATCTTGAAATTGATCCGTTCGGTGATAACTCGAGTGAGGATAAACTCCAGCTCTAGTTACTCCCCAACACACACTGTGGGACACCCAAGCCTTGGCTCTTACCAACTAATGCCTAATAGTTTCTAGGATTAGGTGAGTGGGTTGTTGGCAGAACATCGGGGTGGATGGGGGGAGAGAGGAGAGTGCATGCTCATATCCAGGCACAAGAAAATTCACATGCATATGTGAAACTCTTAGTGGTTTGGGTGGGGTGATAGGTTTCCGCATGTGTCTTTGACACACGGCTGACTTGCATCATTAATAATAATTTGGTCACTCAATCCATGACTGTTTGTGGGACACTGCTGTGCACAGTTGGCTGCTGCATAATTGTTTCTCCTGCAAAATTTACAGTATATTCTGTGAAGCACTTTTGAGACGACTCAAGGATTGTTATTAGGTTTTATTATCACCCATGTTATGTTTAACCTTTGCAGATTGCATTGGTTGTCACAAACTGGCTAACAGCCCTGTAAACCAATGCTCCTTTTAATAGATGATATTCTTTTGGTGTGTTTATCATCCCTGACATCTCCACCCTCCTATCTTCCCTCTCCCTTTGCTCTGAAGGCCTTCTCATCCTTGGCGATTTCAACTTTCACTTCACCTCCTGCTCTACCTCTGCTGACTTTTCCTCTCTTGTCTCCTCCCTCAATCTCTCCCTCCACATCCACTCCACCACCCACGTTTGCAGTTACCCCCTCGACCTGGTGATCATTCAGGGTCTCATCGTCACTGACCTCACCATCATCGACAGAACGATCTCGGGCCATCTCAATCCCTCTCCCGACCGCCACCCAACCCATCTCCATCTAATACCGCCCCTGGAAAAAAATCTTCCCCCTCCCTCTTAGCTGCCTTGGAGCCATCTGAACTCCTTCCCCTCTGGACGTCCTCCCGCAATGACCTATCCTCCTCAGTCACCCTTCTCCACAGCTTCCTCTCCTCCACTCTCGATTCCCTTGCTCCCCTCTCTCTTCCCAAACTTTCTCCTACTAACGCAAATCACCTTGGTACATCAGCCACCTCCCCTCCCTGAAAGCCCAGGTGTGTTCCAGTGAACGCATCGGGCTTAAATCAAACCTAACTGTCCACCGACAGATTTGGCTGGACCATGTCAAATCCTACCGCTCCGCCCTCGCCTCCGCTAAATCTGCACCCAAGACAATCTTGGAGGCTAAGGACAACCCCAGGCTCCTCTTCTCCATCACAAACCGACTCCTCTGCCCACCCTCTCACGCCTCACCCATCCTCACCTCCAATGCCAACTGCGAAGTGATGCTGAACTTCCTCGAATCCAAAGTCGAGGGAATCCGCTCAGCTGCAACTGCTACCCCCATCGCAGCCCCTAAGGGGGGCTTCCACATCTTTGAACCCATCTCCCTCCTTTCTCATCACCATCATAACCCGTATGAAACCCACCACCTGCTCACTCAACCCCATCCCTACCCCACTGCTTACCTCCCAGCTCCACCTCCTTGCCCATTGACATCATTAACCTCTCCCTATCGTCTGGTGCTGTTTCCACCCCTTTAAAAAATGCTGTCATCACTGCTATCCTTAAAAAACCCTCCCTGGACCTTGTCTGCTCCCTAACTACTGCCCCATTTCCAACCTCCCCTTCCTCTCCAAGGTCCTGGAATGAATTGTTGCTTCTCAGCATTGCTCCTTCCTCTCCTGCTACTCCTTTCTCGAACCCCTCCAATCGGGCTTCCGTGCTTCCCACAGCACAGAAACTGACCTGGTCAATGTGACAAATGACATTCTGTCCATCTGCGACCAGGGCTCCCTCTGTCTCCTCGTCCTCCTTGACCTCTCTGCTGCTTTCGATGCCGTTGACCACTCTATCCTCATCCACCGCCTCTCCTCTCATCTCAACCTCCACGGCACTGTCCTTGATTGGTTCAGATCGTACCTCTCACAACACCTGCACTTCATCTCCTCAGACGGCTTCTCCGCTAGCCCCCAGACCGTCTCGTTCGGAGTTCCTCAGGGCTCTGTCTTTGGTCCCCTCCTCTTCAACATCTGTATGCTCCCCCTTGGTGACATCATCTGCAGACATGGGGTAAACTTCCATGTGTATGCGGGTGACATCCAACTCTACCTCTTTGCCTCCACCCTCGACTCCAGGACCACTGCTATCCTGACAGAATATCTGTCGGACATCAAGTCCTGGATGAGAGCTAACTTTCTTCAGTTGAACGTCAACAAGACCGAAGTTCTCCTGATTGGCTCCTGTCAGCGCCTCCACGCCTCAGGCGCTGACAGCATCACCATCCATGGTTGCACACTCCACCTTGCTAAGCCAGTCCCAACCTTGGGATCTTGTTTCACCCTCAACTATCCTTTCTACCCTACATCTGCGTCATGACCTGCTCTGCCTTCCCCACCTCCGCAACATAGCCCGGTCCGCCACTGTCTCACACCACAGGCCGCCGAAACCCTGATACATGCCTTCATTACATCGAGGCTTAACTTTGCAAACTCACTGCTTGTCGGCCTCCCCACCTCCTCTCTCCGCAGGCTGCAGATCATCCAGAACTCTGCAGCCCGTGTCCTCTCCCACACCAGGCTCTGCGACCCTATCACCCCCATCCTCCCCAACTCCACTGGTTCCCATCACATAAAGGATGCAGTTGAAGATCCTGGTCCTCACCTTCAAAGTCTTGCTCACCCCTATCTCTCCGACCTCCTAAACCCCAACCACCCTGCTCGCTCCCTCCGCTCAGCGGGCTCCAACCTGCTTCATGTCCCCAGCCTCGCTCTCCCCACTATCGGCGGGTGGGCCTTCCGCCACTCTGCACCCACCCTCTGGAACTCCAACCCGCAGTCCCTCCGTCTCTCCCCTTCCCTTGCTACCTTCAAGACACACCTCAAGACCTTCCTCTTCGACCATGCTTTAAATCTCCCTGCTTCCCCTCCCCGCCTTGCCCCGCCCTGACCCTCAGCTTGGGTCCACAACTCCATCTGTCCAGCGCCTTGGGATGTCCTCCCAATGTGAAAGGCGCTATACAAATGTAATTTTGTTGTTGTTGTTGTTGTTTATGTCTCCCCACAAACCATAGGAGTGGGATGGAGTTCCAAAGGGTGGTGACAGAGAGGCCAATGATTATTTTATTATTATTATCCTCTGTCCCACAGGCTACACGAAATTCTGGAGGTGGCTGAAGATATGGAGATCGACATCCCACATATATGGCAATACCTAGCCGAGCTCATTGATCACATGCTGCACGAGGGAGGAATACCGATGGGAGAGCTCTTCAGGTGAGATTCAGTGTGTGTTCCCTTCACTCTCAGGCACCTCCCTACCTCTCCGACTTCCTCACTCCCCAATCCACCACCCCGGTGCCTCTGCTCGACTGGCACCGGCCTCCCGCTCATCCCTTGTACCCGCCGCCCTACCATCGGAGGTCGCGCATTCAGCCACTACGCCCAAAAACTCTGGAACACTCTTCCTCAATCCTCCGCCTTGCCTCCTTATCCCCTCTTTCAAGTCCCGCCAGAAAACCTCCCACCTCCCCCCGCCTCGGAGTCAGGCTCCATCACAAACGCTTTGAGACGCTGCCCCACGGTGAAGCTGCCAGTTGTTGCAACTGTGATTTCCATTCTCTCTCTTCCTGCATGAATCCCAAGGCTCTATTTATAGTTCTTTGCCCTTTGATCCGTTCAAACCGACTGTCTTGCGATGATGGTAATGGTGGCCTGTTGTTATCCTAGAGTGGTCGGGGCACAAAGCTATTTGCGAGGAGGGAGACTGAGCCAAAGAATTCTGCTGAGCAGTTCCTCTGAGTTTCTAAGTGGATGAAATTAGATGCAGATGATTTGGGGCGTGTTAAACTGTAATAATAATAAAAACTCACTGTTTCTGCTTCCAGAGAGGTAGCCAGGCCGCTTGTTTCCATTGGAAAAGCTGGGATTCTGCTTGCTGATCTGCTATCTTTACTTTGCAAAGCAATGGTAAGCTTTTTTTTCTCCTCTATCCCCCACCCCAACCACCCACAAATATTTGGCATGCTGTCCCGAATCCCACACAGTGTAACATGTAACCATGTAACGAAAATGATTTTGTCTGTAACCCCAGTAACCGGAGAATTTATTGTTCGATGTTGATCTTTGTCAAAAAGTCCTGTGGAGTCCTGTAGCTCAGTGGTTAGAGCACTTGCCTCGCAAGCGAGAGACCTGGGTTTGATTCCTGGGCGGAGTGAAACCGTAGGCAAGTTTCCTTACTCCACGCACCTCTGTTTACCTGGCAGTCAGTAGGAACCCGGTTGTTAGTTGATCGGTGGATCGCTTTCTGGGGGGAATAATCCCTCCCCCGAAAATAATGATTTGATCACAATCCACCACTGTTTGTGGGACACTGCTGTGCACAATTTGCCCATAAAGTACACAAGTCAGTTTACTTTACAGTATATTTTGTGACCTCTCAATGGTGTGATGATATCAAATGCAAGATTATTATTATTTGTCTTTCAGAGCCAGAAGAAGGCGGGTTCCTTGTGGAGAGAGGGAGGTCTGAGCTGGAAAGAGTTCCTTCCTGAGGAAGAGGACATTAACCAATTTGTCATTGATAAGGTGCTGGTCTTTGGATCTTGTCGCTTGGAGGGTGGGGGTGGTGGTAGAGTGGGAACTTGAATTTTCACAGCACTTTGTCCTGTGGGAAAACCCAGTTCGGTTACTAGGTCAGGGTGATTTTTTATTTTCTTGTCATTGATAGAAAATCGAGTTCACTTTGGACGATGAACCCAGTCCTGAAGAAGCACCAAGCAAAAAGGAACTGACTTTGGATGAACTGTGCGACCAGCTGGATAAACTGATTGAGGAGAAAGCTGAGAACCAAAGACTATTTGACTGGATTGAGGTAAATTGACTACGCTGCATCAGCCGCGATGAGGCTGTTGTTGTGATGGTGATGATGATGTAATGTAACTAAGAAACCTTGCATTTGATAGAGCGCCTTATCACGTTGTTGAGAACGTCCCTTAAGTGCTTCACGGGTTATACTGTAAATTTATTCTTCACAGAATACATTGTGTAGTCTATATTTTGTGGGCCAAGCGTGATTCACGTGTCTAACCAGGCGCCGTTCACATCAGGAGGGTGTTTTGAAGCGCTTCAGAGGGTTCACTGTAACCTGCAAAGGTGACTGTGTTGTGTCTATGTAATCAATACATTGGCTCACTCAATATTAGCAGGATTTGCGTTTCACCCACAAATATACAGTCAATTCACTTTACAGTATATTCTGTGAAGCGCTTTGAGACGTCGAGAAGACGTGAAAAACGCTATATCAAATGCAAGGATTATTATTATTATCCGTTTGGTTTTAATGGGGAGAGAATCAGTGTGATTTGATCCTTTTAAAATGAAGGGTAACCACAGTGCCACTTCCAGAGGTGCAGTGAGAATTTCCAGTGACTTTTCAGAAATTGGCTTCTGCACTAGACTGTGACTCATTCTGGTGAGGGGTGAACGCTTGCATTTTAAAGTTGCCGATTTGTACAATACCTTCAACTCTGTTTTGATAAATGTGCAGTAGTACTGCGGACTCCTGCAGTGTAGTGTTTAGCATACTCGCCTTGCAAGCGAGAAGACTGGGTTCCAGACCTGGGTCACGACAAAACTTTAGGCAAGTTTCCTTCCTCCACCTACTTCTGTTTACCAAGCAGTAAGTCGATTGATGGATCATTTTCCAGGGGTCTGTCGAGGCCGCCCCCTCCCCCCCCAAAAAAAAATTATTGGCTGCTGCATTTTGCCCATAAAATGTACAGTCAGTTCACTTTACAGTATATTCCGTGAAGTGTTTTGAGACGTCTCAACACTAACAGATTATTATTATTATTTCTGTGCTCTGGCCTCAGGCGAGGTAAAGCACTTTGAGACTGTTTTAACTTGGGTGAAAGGTGCTATTGTAAGCAACAAATTGTTGAAATGGTTCAGACTGGCTGGAGGCAGAACTATTTTTTTGATATAACATTGCACACGCTTTTAAACAAAGCTTTTCTTGTTCTGTATTATATCTAGGTTAACCTGGAAGAAAAGCAAATACCCTTAACCATGCTCATCAGAGCATTGATGAAATGTATCTGTCATTCTGCCGTTGTATGTAAGTATAAAACAGTTCAGTGTTTGAGAGCCACTAAGTGAGAATGTTGGCAGATTGGAATGTAATGTTTGGTTCCTCTTCTCTCCCTGCTCCAGTTGACAACCCCATCCATGTGAGTACATCAGTAATCCAGAACCGAGCAAAAGTCCTACAGAAATATCTGAATGCTGACCCCCAACGTGAACTACAAGCACTCTATGCCCTTCAGGCCTTAATGGTCGTATTAGAGCAGCCACCAAGTAAGTGCCTAAGTAGCACAGCTTTACGTCTTTGTTTCAATTTTGCGCAGTGGTTGAGCCGGCCTTGTGTGTCTGTGCTGTGTGACGGTCCTTTGCAGGTCTCTACATGTGTGGCTTTACATCCTCTGCTTGAGCGAGCAAGCGTGTGAGCTTGATATCCACTCTCTCTGTGGAGCAATGTTATTCAGGTCTCAAAACAAAGAGGAAGATTGATCTCTAATGAACTCCCAAGAGTTGCATCATCATCAGTTTCCACATTTGCATCGAGCTTCTTAATTGAGCTCAGTCTCCTGGCCTCTTTCTCCCCCTCACCCCCACCACCCACCCTTCTTGCCTATCTGGTTACCCATCGATTAACTTCAGTCAAAAGAAATCTGTCTGATATCAGCCCTAAAATGCTGCTGTGCAGCCCCTGGAGCTATAACATCTTGCTCTGTAACCTCTTGCTCCGCTCACTTATCATAGAATATTACAGCACAGGAGGAGGCCATTTGGCCCATGGTGCCTGTGCCAGCTCTTTGGAAGAGCTACTCATTCGGTCCCACTCCCCCGCTCTTTCCCCATATCCTTGCAAATGTTTCCTTTTCAAGTAACTATCAAATTCCCCTTTGGAAGTAGTTATGGAATCAAATTAGTGTCTGAATGAACCGTTTCTGGGTTTGCTTTGTTTATACCATTGAGGATCTTGTACGATGTCCCTCCCCTCTGAGACATTTGCCTTCAGATGCCGAGCTAATACAATACCATTCATGGTCATCCAGCGCCTTTCACATCAGGAGGATGTGCTTCTAAGCGATTTACACCACTTCATAAAGTACCCGAGGTTTGGAGGAGAGAGGGGGACTCTAAACAAATCTCTGCCACATGTTAGATTTGCTTCGGAAAGTAGTAGTGTGCCAGTTGGGGGTTTCTGCAACTAACTGTTGGGATATGATGCAAAGGGTGAAAATCCCTGAGTGTCCAGCATCTTAGGGCGTCGTCCTGATGTGAAAGGCGCTGTGTCAATGTCATTTGTTGTTGTTGTTATAAATGAAGTTTATTTTGCGTTTTGTGACTTGCAGATTTGCTTAGGACATTTTTCGACGTTTTGTACGATGAGGACGTTATATCTGAAGAAGCCTTTTACCAATGGGAATCGAGTAAAGACCCAGCCGAGCAGCAAGGCAAAGGCGTAGCGTTGAAATCCGTGACCGCTTTCTTCACCTGGTTAAGAGAGGCCGAAGAAGAGTCCGAAGGGAATTAGAAATCATTATTGACAGATGCCAATCGCATGGCTGAGCGCATTAGACAGACGAGAACTGTCCACTGAGAGTTTTTGCACAATCAAGTGCTCAATTCCGAGGACGGCTATTTCAATAAACTGGGAATAAAACCCTTGGTACTTCAAGGTTCATCTATTTTTTAACATCTACAGTTCATGTCTAACAAAAAAAAACAATGTAACTATTTAGAAGCGAGCAGGGCTGTTGCAAAAAAAAAAGGCCCTTAAAATTAGGTGGTTGTCGAGGGCATAGGAAGGCAGTGGGGATTTTTTTCTGATTTTTTTTTGTTTTGTTTTTTAATAAAATGGTGGATACCTTGTTAAGACCAACGCTTCAAACCGATCGAAGGAATCCCAGGCTGTATTGACTTGGCTTCCCTACGCTAGATTTATTATTTTTTTTGTTGGGGGAACTGGTCGGAAACCCCTTTGTTCTTATGCCTACGAGTTGTATTAAACAAACAAACAAACAAACAAACAAACAAAAAAAAAAGCCTTGAACAAGCCTGTAGTGGATTTTAAACAAAATCAATAAGAGTTTAACCGTTTAATTTAGACAAAACAGGGAGAGAGAGAGAGAAAAGTCGGGGGGAGGGTGGGGGGGGCGGAGGGGGGGGGGAAAGAACAGTGCAGTTCCTAGACGATTCTACTTTCGTGTAGAACCGTTTCAGGACAGTTCTGTAAATAAATGTTTTGCAATATTGCTGATGTAATGCCATGTTATTTCGCTGCCTTTGATAAAGCGCAGCCCGGTCTCCTGTATTTATAGAATTCCTGAGTTCATAAGGTGCTTGTAATTATCAACAAGAATGAATCCTTCACTGATTACAGTTTAAAATGATATGTGTAAATACTTTTGCTTTATTAAGTATTTAATTAAAAATTAATGCCTCTTTTCACGTCCAAAAACTGGAAAATAAAGAACATATTGCAATGTAACTTCATTTTATTATTATTTTTTAATGGTATCCATTTTGCCTGGTGTAACCATTGTTTTTCAAGCCCTTTCCCCCTGCTCTTCCCCCGCACCATTATAAAAACTTTTCAATGGTGCCCGCGTGCAAAATTTAAGGTAAGGCTTTGCACAACATAGGAATTGCTGGACGAAAAAATGTCAAGGTCCATCCAGTTCACCTTCTACCATCCTGGCAGTCGCAGGCTACAATACTGGAGATGTTGGTAGCAATGAATTCTGTATGGATTAGTTGAGCGCTGCTCTAGGATGCCACCCCGTGTGAGGGGCGCTATATAAACCCAAGTTGTTGTAGAACGTTCCAACACCGGAAAGCTTTGGAAATCTTGATTCAAAGTTGCCTGGTTCTTCCACAAATACTACAAGCGAGAAAAAATGTGCTCTCGGCATCTGAGAGGTGAATTGTGAAGTTAATTGTATTAAATATCTAAAAAGGAGTTAAGCTGCAGGAGTATTGTGTGTATGGAAATGCAAGGGCAAGGAAACGGGGACTGAAAGGATTTGCTCTTGAAAGAGCTGCAACAGACACGACGGGCCGAGTAAATCTCGGTTGTGTCCACGTGGGGTTGGATTCACGTTTCTTCTGAGCCGTAAACTTAACGTTTAAGTGCGTTCTGGGACCGAGGTACTGAGGCGATGGGACAGCCAACCGCAGGTGCTAACCCGACAGCCACGAAAGCCCAACTCCTGAAACTAAGAAAGAATTCGAAGCGAACGAAGCAGCTGAAGCTGGTAAAGGCAAAACTATATGTGCTGACTTGTGACCTCTCAAGTTGACTATCAATAACCCAATTTGGACCCAACTGCACTAAGGTGGGATCGGCGACCGTGCAATGCAAGTTTGATTTATTTTAATTTTGATTTTCTCCTTCAATTTTATTCACTTTGATAGATTTTTTAAAAAAACATTTTATACTTTATTTACGGTCACCTCCCCCCAGGCTCGGTGTCGTGCTCCCAGCAGTGTCTAGAGCTCTGGGACGCTACCCTGGTGAGAGGCGCTATATAAATTGCGATTTCCTCCCCACCCCCGCCAGTTTGCATTTCTTCCTGCTTTCTGTTGAGACACACTAACTGCCGCCGTGTGCTTCCTGGCAGTTGGCCAAGTGGTGTGTCTGGGATTGAAGTATTGCCACGTATCACACACGAGATTGATGACGTTCAACTGCTATTTCGCAGAACACAGCAATGCATTGGAAACTATATACAGGGCACTGCTGATCCCAGGCCAGCCAGACTGCCTGGCGAGCCCCGTGAAGCACTTCGAGACGTCCTCACATGTAATGAAAGCACTGTACCAAATGAGAGGATTATTACCCATTTTTGTAAATATTTCTTGCCTTTGGTCTGATACCTGTGAGGGGATTATATGGCTCATCTTTCATCTGATGCTTGGTGATGATGATAATCTTTGCACGTGAATACAGCACCTTATCACGTCGTTGACGGGATTCATTGTAAGGTGGAGTGACTTGTGTGTTTTGTGGGCAAAATGCGGCAGCCAATTGCGCACAGCAGTGTCCCACAAACAGTCCTGGATACAATTTTTTTTATTTGGAGGGTTTATTACCCTTGGAAAGCGATCCGCCAATCGATTTAACAGATGGGTTCCTCGTTACTGCTCGGTAAACAGTTGTGTGGAGTAAGGAAAGTGAGTGAAGTTTCGCCCCGAAATCTGGTACGAGATGATGTAGAAAGAGCGGAGGTTTCAGCCACTGCTCAATATCTGCTTTGCAGACTTGTAAAAACCCTTTAAACCAAGGTCCAGTCTTGCCGGTTAAGGTGGAAGTTACGTATTCTATGGCACGACATGAGAGAAGGGAGTCAATCTCGTGCCGTGTCCTGGCCAAACATCCAATTGGGTAAAAATGGCCACTCACTTCATTGGCTGTTTTACAGGACGTTGCTGTGTGCAAATTGGCAACGTTCACCTACAAATTAGTCACTGCACTTCACGGTAAAACCTGTTAAACTCTTTCTATGGTGCTGTTCATTAAAAGTTTTAGATCATATCAGATTATTTAATTCCATTTCCTGGATATCTCCCACACCCATTAATTCACTTACTTCACCCAAGTCTCTATCCATCCATCTATCCAATGTAATCAATCTTTCTACCACAAAATATACAGTCCATTCACTTTACAGTATATTATTTGAAGTGCTTTGAGATGTATTATTGTTATCTCTTTATATCCCCATTGATTCTGTGTCTATGGTGTTTTGTGGACAGTGCAGTTTCACAACTCTGTGTGAGGAAGTGGTTTCTGATTTGACTTCAAACCAGCCTCTCTCGCACTCTGATAATTATAATTTGCTGTCCAGCAAATGACACCAAAAATCACACTCATCAAAACCATTTCCTCCTTGTGTTTCATCTAGCCTTTTTTTTTGTTGCTCTGTAAACCACAACTCAGCTACAATGTTCTGACGAAATGTCTTCCACCAGCTGTTATCTGAAGCTTCAGAGTTTCCTCATCCAGCTCTTCAATGGACCTGCAGAGAGTTGGAGTAAACATGCAAAGCTTTTCAAATGTATTTAAGAAGAAACATTATTGAAGGATTAGGGGGAAGAGAGAGAGCAGGGAATGGGGTTAGAGTAGAGAGCTCTAGCCTCGCTGTGATGGAAGGATATTTACAGGACAGCTTGTGACGTGCTGGCTACCGTGACATTCAAGCGGTCTAAGGTCCATTGCTGTGTACAACAAGGACTTGCTCAGTGCCAGCTGCTTAATCCAGGTCCTCGTGTGAGGAACTTTGGCCAATATAAGTGCCCACCACGAATTCTCCCCCCAAGGTGCTCGGCAACAAGTCAGTGTAGGCTGGAGCCCTTCCTCTCGCTCCCCTTCCCTGCAGCTGCTGAGGCCTTTTTGTTGATCCTCGCACCTTCGAGACGTCTCAAAGCGTTTCGCAGGATACACGGTAAAGCGACTTGACTGTACATGTTGTGGGTGAAACTCGGCGGCCAATAAGCGTAACCTGCATTGGAACGCAGAGGCGTCCAAAGCAGGGAGCTGTGAAGCAACCAGAAAGCAACCTTTGTCCCTTTTCTCAGCGTCCAGTCATTCTATCCGCTGAACTAACAATACACAGCTGAAATAACAGGTGCATAAACTCACCATTTAACTCAGCTGATTTTTTTTTCAAAGTTAATTTTTAACAATCTCGGGCAATTATATCAGATTTCTTGTTGATTTTTGGAGTCCTGTAGCTCAGTGATTAGAGCACTCGCCCCCGCAAGTGCCTGGTTTCGATTCCCGAGCAGGGGGAAATGTTGGGCAAGTTTCCATACTCCACACACCTCCGTGAGCAGTGAGTAGGAACCCGGTTGGTTAGTCGATTGGCAGAATCGCTTTTCCGGGGGTAATAATCCCTTCAAGAAAAAAAGTAATAATTTGGTGACTCAATCCACGACTGTTTGTGTGGACGCTGCTGTGCGCAATTGGCTGCCGCGTTTCGCCCACAAAATATACAGTCGATTCACTTTACAGTATATTCTGTGAAGCGCTTTGAGACGTCTTGAAGACGTGAAAGGCGCTCTATAAATGGAATCTTGTTGTTGTTGTTGTATATCAAATGCAAGGATTATTATTATTATTAATTCAGGTTTTACACATTTCTGGTTTGTTAAAGACTGGCCCCAGGGAAGCTGTTCAAAAAGAGAAGTTCCTCCACATAATTATATTTTGTGGGCAAAATGCGTCTGTCAGTTTGCACACGGCAGTGTCCCACAAATAGCCATGGATTGAGTGACCAATTTTATTTGGGGGTTTGTTGGCCAGTTAGAGACTGTGTACAGTTCTGGTCGCCGGAGTGCAAAAAGGATATCGGAGAATTCGAGACGAGACAGAGGAGCGTAACCAAAAGGATTGAGGGAATGGAACGACTGGACTATGAGGAGCAATGGAGTAAATTGGGCATTTTCCTGCTGGAAAAGAGAAGATTGAGAGGCGACATGATTGCTGTCTTTAAGATTCTAAAGGGACAAGACAATATAGATCATGATGGGCTGTTACAACTTGTCCCAGAATAGTAGAACCAGAGGACACATCCTGCGATTGAAGGGGGGAAAATTCAGAACAAATCTACGCAAACACTATTTCATTGAGCAAATAGTGAACCTATGGAAAATGATTGAAGCGGAAATGTTGATTCTTTCAAGCACAGATTAGATAGTTTTCTTTTAGGAAATAACATTATGGGATACAGCACATAGAGACATATGTGCAGGTGACCGATCGTTTTTTTTTGTCCAGCATTTCTTATGTCCTTATGTATTCAAATAGCACTGTGGGACCTTGCACATGGTTTGCCTCAGCCGTGTGCGTGCGTGCGCGTGTGTGTGTGCATGTGTGTGTGCTCGTGAATCCTGTGTACACATGGAATATTCACTGATGTTGGCGTTTGGCTGGCAGTCACATTACATTGCCTGATAGTCGCTGGTATCTGAAGTCCAAGGCTACATCTCTGTGTATATACCGAACAAACTCGGGTAACAGAACGGGGTCAAGACATGTTGATTAGAGAGGAGGTGGGTGGGTGAGCTCAATGCTGAGTCAGCGAAAGAGACCGCGCTTATCTTTATGTGCAACGAGGCGGCTCAGAACTTAGTTATCCTTGACGACAATCCTCCAGATAAAACTGTCGGTTCACTTCAATGCTGTTGTATGTCTTTGACAGCAATTGCAGAGTCACGTTACTTCACATCAGTGGTTGAGCGGATTATAACAGTGATTTTGATGTTATAGATTGCTATTTTTTTTTCGGTCATCATAAGCACAAATTGTTTTCTTCCCTCCCCTCCCCCTCTCTCCATTCGGTGAAGCGTCAACAAGATGTTTCTGTTTGGGAGTTCCCCATAGTTTACCCGCAGAGAGTTGGAGTAAACGTGCAAGGCTTTTGAAATGGATTGAAGGGAAAACATTATTGAAAGGTTGTGAGGAGAGAGCCCCAGTGCAGTGGGGAGGGGGGAGCCGGGTGATCGAAGACACAGTCGAAGAGGAGGGTCTTGAGATGGGTCTTGAAGGAGTTAAGGGAGTGGGCGAGGCGGAGGGACTGCGGGATGGAGTTCCAGAGGGTGGGGGCAGAGTTGCAGAAGGCCCGCCCGCCAATGGTGGGGTGAGCGAGGCGGGGTGACATGAAGCAAGCCGGAACCCGCTGAGCGGAGGGTGCGGGCAGGTTGGCAGGGGGTCAGCACTGGTTACTTGTCTCCAATCGTAGGAAATGGTGCCACCTGGTGACTACAGGTCAGTACTACCTAAACCCCCAAACACTGTACATTATGATCATTGATGAATAATAATTGGGGTTTACTTATTTGGGGTTCTCTCGCTGTTCACGCTATGACAGAAACGTGTGTTTGAAAAGGAAACATATCTGATATCCAGGTATCCGCAAGGAATAAAAAGACAAGCTCCCAGTTGTTGGGAATCTACTTATTGTCCTCACTATTCCGCGCTGGGAGAGATCTCGGCACTCTTGACAACGTGATAAATTTGCTGTAACCAATGCGAGGATTATGTCACCCATATGGTTTAGTCTCCTTGTTGACGTTGCACGTCATTGCAACCTATAGCCCATAGGGGGCACTCTACCACAGTGTAATTGTAACCCTGCATTAATGTACTCCTGTAACCTTGCCCACTCTGTTTTGTGGCTGCATCAACCAACAGCTCAGAACTTTGGCCGTACAATTACTTATCATGATCGTCTTGTTGGCATCAGTCTTGTTGGTACCACCCCTGACGCTGAGGCAAATTGGCTGCCTACAAAATACAGTCACTACACTTTACAGTGTATCCCGTGAAGCGCTTTGAAACCTCTCGAAGACGTGATAAGTTGCTGTAACCAATGCAAGGAATAGGTAACCAATATGGTTTAGTCTCCTTGTTGACGTTTCAAGTCAGAATAATAAATAATAATCCTTGCATTTGATACAGCGCCTTATCACGTCTTCCAGACGTCCGAAAGCGCTTCACAGAACATACTGTAAAGTGAATTGGCTGTATATCTTGTGGGCGAAACGCGGCAGCCAATTGCGCACAGCAGCGTCCCACAAACGGTCATGAATTGAAGTGACCAATTTATTATTAGTATTGTTTGGAAGGAATTATTATTCCCGGAAAAGTGATTCGCCAATCAACTGGGTTCCTACTTTGCAATTCATTGCAACATATAGCCCGTAGGGGGCACTATACCACAGTGTAATTGTTAATGTTGCTGTCACTTTACTCCAACAAAAAGAGTAATGAAGCCAGGGACCATGGATCCTCTGTAGTTAATGTGATAAATCTCTGGGGGAAACAGTGAATATTCCGTGCATTATGGTTTCACAGCTCTATCATTGTTACAGTAATGTAGTTAGGTTTATGTAGAGAATGAACGAGCCACACAGGCTGATGAATGGCTGAACATTGTGAGCCTTGCCTTCTGCTTAACTCTTAATTGCACATTTATATTTTAAACCCTGTTTTGGATGTTGAGGCTTAGTTGTCAGGACTTTGGACACTTGGAAGCTGTTTTCTGAGTCTCAGTTAAGCTTATGCCAATTGTCATGAGAATTATTTTTCTTCTGTCCCACAAACAGTCGTGGACTGAGCGACCAAATCATTTTTAAATAGTCACTAAACTGTGAAGCGCTTTGAGACGCCTCAGTGAGATAAGGAGCTAAATCAAATGCAAGGGTTTTTTTCTATACTCAGTATTAGGAAATGTCGGAGGATTCTCATCTCAAAATGACCTTTGTTTGTCTTTAAAAACACAGAGTCACTACGTTTTACAGTGAAACCCTTGAAGCACTTTGGGATGTCCTCTCGACTTCGCATCGAATGCGAAAAATTATTATTTCAAGAAGGAATTTGAGGTTTGATTCAGCAAAGTAAAAATTTATAAGAAAAATTCCTTACATTTAATATAACGCCTTATCACGGTGTCAAGCAATCTCAAAGCGCTTCACAGGATATACTGTAAAGTGGATTGATTAGTTTGTGGGCGAAACGCGGCAGCCAATTTGCACACAGTAGCGTCTCACAATCAGCCACGGAGTTATTTGGGGGATTTTTGGACACCGGGAGAGAGAAACTCCCTTCTCTTTTTGAATAGCGCTGCGGGATTTTTAACGTCTGCCCAAACAGGCAGATAGGACTTTGGTTTTATGTCTGATCTGAAGGATGGCACCTCTGACAATGCAACACCCCACCAGCACTGCGTTGGAGTAAAATTGGTGGCTCACTCCATGGCTGTTTGTGGGACACTGCTGTGCGCAAACTGGCTGCCGGGTTTCGCTCACAATATACCCATCTGGAGTCCTGTAGCTCAGTGGTTAGAGCACTCACTTTGCAAGTGAGAGACCTGAGTGCAATTCCAGGCAGAGGGCGAAACCTTGGGCAAGTTTCCTTACTCCACACAGAGCCTAATAATAATCCCTCCAAAACCCAAAACAATAATAAATTGGTCATTTTCAATCCACGACTGTTTGTGGGACATTGCTGTGCGCAATTGGCTGCCGCGTTCGCCCACAAATATACAGTCAATTCACTTTACAGTGTGTTCTGTGAAGCGCTTTGGGACGTCCTCCCGACGTGAAAGGCGCTATATCAAATGCAAGGATTATTATTATTATCTATCTATCTATCTCTATCGTCTGTGGTGTTTAAATGTGCCACATGGATCCCAGAGAGAGCTGAGCCGTTGGCTTTATTTGTAGTGATAGGATCTGATCTCAGCGTGTGTCTGTCTGGGTGACGTGAGAGACAGACAGGAGAAATGCAATGGAAAAGCAAACGGATTGGTGTGCCATCAACAACCAGGTGCCTCCCCTCTCCTCACCTCCCCTCTCCTCACCGCCTCTCTCCTCACTTCCCCTCTCCTCACCTCCACTCTGCTCCCCTCCCCTCTTCTCACCTACCCAGTCAGTTCACTTCACAGCATATTCTGCGAAGCGCTTTGAAACGTCTCGGAGACGTGATAAGGCGCTATATCAAATGGAAGTATCATCATTATGAATTTGCGGCCACAATTCGCCACACATGAAACACTAACAGGTTGAAGTGAACAGGGATTTCTTTCTGATCATTGCCAAGCAGAAAAATCTATAATTTGGTGTGATTTTTTGTGTGTGTTTTCTTCTCTTATCTTCCCACCCCACCCCACTACCCACACCAACACACACACACACACCAACACACAGACGAAGACACACAGACACACACACACAGAGCCAAAGCTACATCAGTCATTGCAAATAATATCTCCAAACATTACAGCTGACTCTGCCTTTCTGCCACACACACTGTCCAATAGATGAGAGCTGTACACAGCATCTGCTTATCCCAATGGTCCAGGAGGTAAGAGAGGGGTTGGCTTTTGAATCATCTCTCTCTCTCTCTCTTTTCTCCTTCTCTCTCTCTCTTTCAGTGATCCTGTCGCACACACAGACACACACACACACACATCAAAAATAACCCCAAACGCCTCTATTCTCTCTCTCTTTTCACTACGTGCCATCTCCTCTGCAGGAAAGCAACCCACAGCTCACCCCATCCCCATCAGTCTCTATCCACAGTCACTGTTGCACCTGCTCCATCCATCATCCATCATCCATCCATCCATCCATCATCCATCACCTCCCTCCTTCATCCCTCCATCCCTGGGACAACTTAAACCACTTCAGACGCTTGGAGGGCAGGTTTCCTTTGAGGTAAACGACGGGAAAATGTTTCCAGTCTGGAACAAGGGTTAAAAAAGACATATATAGATTGATATATTTCATCCCTCTTCCCACCCCCCCCCCTCCCACCCCCCCCCAAAAAAAAAATTTCCTGCTGATTATGGGGTGTATAGGTTCGAAAACGACAATTGGTAAGACTTGTTTTCTTATTGTGTACTGGTGTGTGAGGGGGTGGGGGGGAGACACGTGTGGATGGGGGTGTGGGGGGGTTGTTTGGTTGGGGTTTGGTTGGGGAGAGAGAGAGAGAGAGAGACAAAGGCAGAGATGGAAAGAGATTCTCTCTCTCCATCTCTCCATCACTCCAAGGCTGGAGGTGGTTTGGTTTGGGTCTCAAACCATCAGCTACACAATCCTTTCCCTTTTCTTTCTTTGTCTCTCTCTTTTTCTTCTCTTCCTCCTTCTCCCTTTCACCCCCCCACCCCCCCCCCCCCCAAAAAAAATCTACCCCACTTGTTTATAAGCAAAAGAGAGACAGATGTATTTCATTATCTTTTGCAATGAACTTAACTTTGGCTCTTTGTCTTTATCTTATTCTTTAAAACACTAATAATAATATATTTTTTAAGTGATGGATGGCATAAAATGGATGTGATGCATAATTCTTATTCTCCAAATAAAAACAAATCCTGGAACCATTAAATGCTTATTATAATAATACTGCAAAGATTCTTATTATTATAACCAAAAGCGATCAATATGCACCTTCAATTTTAATTACCAATTATCTCTCTCTCTCTCTCCCCCAAATCTACTTTTTTTGAATTGGAAAAAAGGCTTTTTTAAAATTGTAATATTTTATATATTTTTTAAGGCGCCCGTAAAAACTGTACAAGTTGCTTCGCTTTGTTGAATTGCGGGAACAAATTGTCACAAAATACACAGTCAATTCACTTTACAGTGTTTCCTGTGAAGCGCTTTAAGACGTCTCGAAGATGTGATAAGGCGCTGTAACAAATGCAAGGATTATTATTATTATTTAATCACTGAATTGAGCAAATTGGACTCTTTTCCAAACCCCACCCCCACCCCCACGTCTGTTGCTTTGGGTTTCTTACTGATGTAAGTAAAGGCTTAAACATTTCTAATTAAATCATAAAAATTACCACATGGGATTGTCTCCCCTCAAGATCTGCGTGTGTGTGCGTGTGTGTGTGTGTCAAATAGAATTATATTCACCTATGACTACCTGGATGGGGGGGTGGAATTATGTAGCTCTAGAATTGAGTGGGAATTTAATGGTGAGATGTGTGAACAGAATATTTTTGTTTGGAAAAGGGACAAAAGTCAAGTTTCTTAAAAAAATCTCAGAAGGGAAAGGGACACAGAGAGAGAGACAGATAGAAGGAAGCTGAGGAAGGGAGAGAGAGAAAGTGAGAGAAGAAAGGTGAGGAAGGGAGAGAGAGTGAGTGAGAGAAGGTGAGGAAGGGAGAGAGAGAGAGAGAGAGAAGGTGAGGAAAGGGGAGAGAGAGAGAGAAGGTGTGGAAGGGAGAGAGAGAGAGAAGGTGACGAAGAGAGAGAGAGAAGTAACCCTTTGTTTAATCATTTGCATTGTTGACCAGAGCAAAAGATTTGATATTAAAAACCTGTTTGAGTCTCTCTCTCTCTCTCTCTCTCAAATTGTTGTGTGAAATGGACACAACATCTGGTTACACAATAGGCCGAGGAGAAGGGAAAGAGATGGAGGGTTTATTCCTACCCTCAGTGGATCCCAGTGTGTGTGAGTTACACAAAATGGGTTTCACAATAAGCTCATTGGATTGCCATCAAACTTTCGCACCACCGCTTAGCCATAAAGCTCAGCAAAACAAAGCAAAACATTTTTTTTTATTGTTTGAATGATAATAACAGCCTTGGGCAGAGGTTGGAGGCTGACAGGCAGATCTCAGAGGTAGAGAGAGAGAGGGGGAAGGAGAGAGAGAGGTATATTTTTTGGGTGTGGCGGTCAGGCCTCTTGATACCCTTTTTATCTGAAGCACACTGAGCTGGGGATAACATTGCAACCGATACAGACCCGTCTCTCTCTCTCTATCTCTCTTTCTCTCTCCTCCTTCTCCCTGCTCTTTTTATCCCTCCCTCCCTCCCTGCCCCCTTTCTCCAGCCCACCAGAATGCATAATAATAATAATAATAATAATAATGATAATAAAATTAAACAGGAGGCTGTTGATTGCAGATGTGTTGCTGTGTTGGAGTGTTCTCTGTGCCTGAGAATAAGTCCACAATAACTGGGGAAGCTTTGATCTCAGATTCTGCCTTATTGTCTCAGGTTATATTGCAAAACACCCCTCACCCCCCCTCCCCGACACACACACACCACAGAGAGATGGTAAAGGGAAAAGGAGAGGAGAGAGAAGGGGAAAGGGGGGGAAATTGATGAAATCTGCATTGTTTTTTCTTGCAGCTAGAAATGGCTCCACAAAAGGACTGATGTTCTTTTTGATATTCTCTGTCTGATGTTCTCTCTGCCATCCCTCCCTCTCTCACTCTCCCCTTCTCACTGAGATGTTAAAGGGGGAGGGGGGCAGATTTCCTGAGCCTTCAATGGACCAGGAAATATAAGGTTTATTTCTCATCTGTCAGGTTCAGCCTGTTTGGCTCTCGCTCTCTCTGTGTTATTTAGCCTGACAGGTGTTCTGTAAATTATTTTTCAATCGTACACACACTCATACATAAATATATACACACACCCACACACATATATACACACACCCACACACATATATAAACACACACCCACACACATATACATACTCCCACCCACACACACAAACACACAGATGCACAATACAATTCTGATTTACAGTGGTGACATTTACACCGTAAATTCAGTCGTGAAATTTACAGATAATTATATAACCATAATAATTCTTGCATTTGATACAGCGCCTTATCACGCTGTTGAGACGTCTCAAAGTGCTTCACAGAATATACTGTAAAGTGAAGTGACTGTGTATTTTGTGGGTGAAATATAGCAAGCAATTGCGCACAGCAGTGTCCCAGCTGTGGATTGAGTTTTTTAGGAGGAATGATTACACCAGTAAAGCGATCCACCAATCCACTAGCAACCGGGTTCCTACTTGCTGTTGGGTAAACAGAGGTGTGTGTGGGGAGTAAGGAAACTTGGCTAAAGTTTTGCCCCGACCGGGAATCAAATTGATGTTCTTCTCGCTTGCGAGGGGAGCGCACTATGCTACAGGACTCCACAAAATGGGACTGACTGTCAAATCCGGCACAGACACGATGGGCCAAATGGCCTCCTGTGAATCCTACTTTCATGTCGGGAGTACATCCCAAGGTTCTTAACAGTAATGGCTTGGGGTGGAGGTCGAGCCCGATTTCTCTGACCACCCCCCCCGGCCCCATTCGCTCCTGGCACTTTTATACACAAACCCCATCGAAATCTTCAGGAAGGGGAGAGAGTAAGAATTCGTCATGACTTTGGGAAGATTGGAATTGATAATGGGTTTAAAAAAAGATTGTCATAATAATATTAATAATTATTATCATCATAAACCTTGGATTTGCTGTAGCCTACAAAACACCCAGTCACTCCACTCCACCACAAATCTTCTGAAGCGCTTAGAGCCGTCCTCCCAAAGTGCTGAATCAGATGCAGGGATTATTATTACCATAATTATTATTATAAAGTCTCATCATGCCTTTGAAACATGAGAACTTCATGGGTCGATTTCAAGATCCTCACCCTTGCATTCAAGTCCCTGCACTCCTCTGCCCCCCCCCCCTCTCTCCTCAGCACAGTATCCGTTGCCTTCGTTCCTCTGGGTCTGGCCTCCTCCTCGTCCCCCGAGTCCTCCGCTCCACCCTCGGGGGCCGTACCTTCAGCCACTACGCCCCGAGGCTCTGGAACTCCATTCCTCACTCCCTTCGCCTCGCTCCCTCAATTCCCATTTTCAGGTCTCGGCTGAAGACCTTTCTTTTCGACCGCACCTTTGGTCACCTTCCCCCCCTCCCCCCGGCTCCTCCCCCTCCCCCCGGCTCGCCCCCCGGGATCCGTTACTGTAAAGCGCTCTGAGACGCCGTCCGGCGTGGAGGGCGCTATATAAATCCAAGTTGTTGTTGTTGTTGACTTTGATTGTGAAGTGTAGTGACTGTGAAGTGAACGTCCCATTCGTGAGCAGGTACACAGAGAACGTTTGAGGTCAGATGAGAGAGATACAGAGAGAGAGAGAGAGAGATGCTGTACTTATATTGTAAAAGTTAAAAACCTGGTGAAGGACTTTGCTGGTTGTTTGACTGACACAGTCCCCGGTGACGTGAGACTGCGCTGAACGGACAATGAAAAGGAGCTCAGTTTGAGAACTCTCTATGCCAACTGCGTTCCCTTCATCTTTCTCTATGTCGCTCTGGTAGGGGTGGCCAATCTCAACTCACTCCACGACTTATTTGCGGGACTCTGCCGTGCGCAATTGGCTGCGGCGTTTCGCCCACAAAATATACGGTCACTCCACTTCGCACTACATCCTGTGAAGCGCTTTGAGACGTCTCAACGAGATGATAAGGTGCTGTATCAGATGCAAGGATGATCACGATTGTATTATTATTTGTCACAATAGCTTTGAGGAGGATCTTGGCTGTTTTGTTTCACAAGAGCCACGTAACTTGGGTGGAAAGACTCCACCAGCCGGATTTCCTCTATTGGTCTATTTATAAAGCTATAAATTCCTCCACATCCCACCCCACCTCTGGGACCTCATCAAACTTTACGGACCCGGCTACAAGAGCCTGCTTCAGCGTTCGAATAACCGCTGGAACCCAACCAGCTGAAACCGTGTAGCTTGCCATTGACATCGCTCTGTCTGGCCAGCTTTCCTGCTGCTTGTCCAGCGAGGAAACACCCCAACCATTAGGGCTTTGGCTTGCGGGGCAACAGGAGCTGAGCGGGAGGATTCCCTGCCCGCTCCCAGCGACCGGTCGGCCCTTCCACGTCCTGCCGATGAGCCAGGCTGTGCTGTCATCAGCAGTGAGTGCCCTGGAGTCCTGCCAACTCGTATAGCTTAAGGTTGACGCTCCGGGGCAGTGCCCGGGGGCGCGCGGGGAGGGTTGTGTTGTCCGAGGTGATTGATATGGGGTCAACGGGCCACAGGTGTAGGCAAAGCTGTGGGGGGTGTTTGGTGAAGATGAGAATGAGGATTTTGAACTGTTATCCTCGGGGGTCACAGATGGGGTCACACTCACACACCACACGCGCGCGCGCACACAAATGCACACTCATGTGCGCACACTCACTCTCACTCACTCACATACACTCACACATACTCACTCTCATACACACTTGGTCTTTCTCACTCTCACACAGGATCACACTCTCTCACACTCACTCTCACTCTCACACACGCGCGCACACACACATATACTCACTCTGACTCTCACATACACTCGCTCTCGCTCACTCTCATTCACTCACACAGGTTGAGGAGATTGTGATGTTAAAAGGAATACGGCTTTGTGCTGTGCCCATTTTGGGCAAAGGGCAGCAGAAAAAATGCGCCCCCGATTTCAGGGCTGGGGGGTGCGTGTGTGGGGGCATGTGGTGTAGCATATGGGAGCGTGTGGTGTAGCGTGTGAGAGCATGTGGTGTATCGTGTGGTATAGCATGTGGTGTAGCATGTGAGAATGTGTGGTGTGGCGCGTGTGGTGTGGCGTGTGGGAGAGTGTGGTGGGGGGCATGTGGGAACGTGTGGTGTGTGGGAGCGTGTGGTGTGGCGTGTGGGAGCGTGTGGTGTGGCGTGTGGGAGCGTGTGGTGTGGCGTGTGGGAGCGTGTGGTGTGGCGTGTGGGAGCGTGTGGTGTGGCGCGTGGGAGCGTGTGGTGTGGCGTGTGGGAGCGTGTGGCGTGTGGGAGCGTGTGGTGTGGCGTGTGGGAGCGTGTGGTGTGGTGTGGCGTGTGGGAGCGTGTGGCGTGGCGTGTGGGAGCGTGTGGTGTGGCGTGGCGTGTGGGAGCGTGTGGTGTGGCGTGGCGTGTGGGAGCGTGTGGTGTGGTGTGGCGTGGCGTGTGGGAGCGTGTGGTGTGGCGTGTGGGAGCGTGTGGTGTGGCGTGGCGTGTGGGAGCATGTGGTGTGGCGTGGCGTGTGGTGTGGTGTGGCGTGTGGTGTGGCGTGGCGTGTGGTGTGGCGTGTGGTGTGGTGTGGCGTGTGGGAGCGTGTGGTGTGGTGTGGCGTGTGGTGTGGCGTGTGGTGTGGCGTGGCGTGTGGGAGCGTGTGGTGTGGTGTGGCGTGTGGTGTGGTGTGGCGTGTGGTGTGGCGTGTGGTGTGGCGTGGCGTGTGGGAGCGTGTGGTGTGGTGTGGCGTGTGGTGTGGTGTGGCGTGTGGGAGCGTGTGGTGTGGTGTGGCGTGTGGGAGCGTGTGGTGTGGCGTGTGGGAGCGTGTGGTGTGGTGTGGCGTGTGGGAGCGTGTGGTGTGGCGTGTGGGAGCGTGTGGTGTGGTGTGGCAGGCTGGCCAACCTGCCCAGAGTCACGGTGGTGACTCACAAAAGTATAATAATAATAATAATAATAATAATCCTTGCATTTGCTGTAGCGCCTTAGCCAGTCGTCAAGAAGTCTCAAAGCGCTTCACAGGATATACTGTAAAGTGTAGTGACTGTGTATTTTGTCGATGATTCACTTTGGTTTATTTTTTCTGCTTTATGTCGTATCGCAGCGTCCCATTCACCAGCTTGTTGTCAGCTGTCGTTGCTAAAGTGCAGTTAATTAAACGTTCAGTGTGAGTGTGAGATGGCACTGTGATCTTTCCCCCTCTCTCTCTGTCGCTCTCTTCCTCTCTTTCTCTCTCTTTCTCTCTCTCTCTCTCTCTTTATCTCTCTCTCTCTCTCTCTCTCTCTCTCTCTCTCTCTCTCTCTTGCTCTCTCTCTCTCTCTCTCACTCTCTCTCTCTCTCTCTGTCACTCTCTCGCACTCTCTCTCTGTCACTCTCTCGCACTCTCTCCCTCTCTCTCTGTCTGTCGCTCTCTCGCACTCTCTCTCTCTCTCTCTGTCTGTCGCTCTCTCGCACGCTCTCGCTCTCTGGTTTATGGTGAGCACTGGTTCTGCGGGAGAAGCTGAAATGAAATTGCAAATCAATGTGTTACCCTGGTAACCTGCAGAGCTGCTGCCAGCCCTGGTACTGAGCTGATCCCGGCTGCCGTGTGGTGACTGTTCTGGGCAGAGCGGGCGATTAGGGTTCTCACACTTCCTGGGACAGGCGTGGGGGGTGAGCTACACCTGTGCGTGTGCGTGCGCGTGTGTGTGATTGCTTAAGTGTGTGTGTGTGTGTTTGTGTGTGTCCGATCGCTTATGTGTTTGTGTGTGCGTGAACGCTCCTGTGTGTGTCTGATCCTCTACCTGTGTGTGTGTGTGTGACCGCTCGCTCGTGTGTGTGTGTGTCTGTTCCTCTACATGTGTGTGTGTGTGACCGCTCGCTCGTGTGTGTGTGTGTGTCTATTGCTTGTGTGTGTGTCTGATTGCTTGTGTGTGTGTCTGATTTGCATGTTCACTTGTGTGCGTGTGAGTGTGTGTGTGTGTGTGTGGGGGGGGGGGGGGGGGGCAAAGGGCGCTTGTCTGTGTGTATGATCGGTCTCGGAGCGCTTCGCACGATTTTACTGTGAAGTGTAGTGACTGTGCATTGTGCAGGTGCCCCCGGCCCCTGATCCGCACACAGTGGCAGCTGTGGGGTGAATGAGCGATTTTGAAATAATAATAATAATAATAACACCAATAATAATCCTTGCATTTGATGTAGCGTTGAGACATCTATTTTATTAATAGATAAATTAATGAATAAAAATGATCGAATTCATGCATAAGTGGGGGAACTATCGGCCAGGATGCTGGGAGTGAGACAGAAACTTTTTTTGAGTAGCATCTTCCCCCTGAACAAGGCACAGACGCGTCCTAATGTCTCCTCCGAAGGACGGCGTTTCTGACAGTGCAGTTGTCCTCGTTTCTGGCCCCGCTCCCCTCCTCCCTCCACCCCATCCCTCCCTGCCCCCTCCTCCTGCCCCCCACCACTGCACTGGAGCATCATCCCAGACTGCGTGAGCTCAAAGTCAAACATGAGTCTCGAACCTATAACCTTTTGCCTCAGAGGCGAGAGCGTTAGCGACTGAGCCCGGCTGACACCTATTATTATTATTATTATTAATAATAATAATAATTTGACTGACTGTGAGTCTGTGCTCCAGCCCAGGCCCCGGTGATGGTGAGTGTTGGTTCTTGCTTTTGCAGTGGCTGTTGACACGACTCTGCAGGTGGAGTGGAAGGACGTGAAGCCCGTCTCTGCCCTGTTCCCACTGGGCAGCACCACCTCCATCACCTCCTCGCTGGTGCGGACACTTGCACAAGAGCCCTCGCTAGACAGCCAGGACACTGCCCAGGTGTGACTGCTTCTGAAATCTTTTTGAGACGTGCACACGCATGTGTGTGTGGTCGTCATCATAGTTAAACTGTGTCCACTTGTGTCCACTTGTGTGTGTATGTCGGCGTATGTTGGTGCGTGTTCGTCAGTGTGTGTATTTGTGGGTCGGTGTGTGTGCATATGTGTATATGTCTTTGTGTATGTGTGTCGCGGTCTGTGTGTGTATTGGTGGTACGAGTGTGTGTGTGTATATATACATCTATGTGTGCGCGTGTGTCCATGTATTTATGGTTTTACAATACGCCACCCCCCCCCACAAATAAAAACACAGTCACTACACATTCAGTAAAATGCACGGATTAATATTTTTAATATTGTTATTACCACAAAGAGAATAAATAAATAAATAAAAGCAGGGATTTGCTTTTTGCCCAATCGATTTGAGGAGATATCAAAAATATTTTGCCGTGACATTGACGAGACTAGTGGGGTGGTGGGGTGAGGGTTGGGGGGGGCGCTACACAGTAATGGCACCCTCTGCTATCTGCATTGAGCGAGGGTCGAGAGAAGGTATAAGTCAAGAGTGTAAGCGTTGTAACAAGGAGAGCTTTTGCTACAGCATTTCCAGATAGTTAGTGGCATTCAGTGTTTCAAAGGGAGGGAGGAGGTGGTGATGGGGGAGGGGATTGGGGTGTGGGGAAAATGGGGATGGGGGGGCAGGGGAAGTGGGGGGCGGGAGGGCAGGGTTGGGGGTAAGGAGCCATGGATATCGAGTTGGATCCATTCCCCCTTTCGCTCATGCTGTTCAGGATGTAACGTCGACTCTGTTACGTCAGAGCAGATCCAAGCAGCAGTCGGTCCACAGTGACCGGTTACTATGGAAATCCATCATTGAAGCCGGCTATATATAAAAACAACCCCAGTCTGTTTGTGGAGGGCGACGTAGTTAGAATACAAGCAAATGAGAAAGAAAGCAAGTCAGAGAGGCTTTTACCATTGGCACAGCTCAACTCAGCTCTCACACAGCGAGCGAGAGAGAGAGAGAGAGAGAGACCAGGCTCCCGCTCATCATAGTTAACTGAAATCAACAGTCTGGTAGGTGACCTGTGCGCGTGTGTGTGTGTGTGAGATTCTGTGTCTGTTGGTTTATCTGTATATAGTTCTATGTGTCGTCGTATGTGTGTGTAAATAATTCTGTGTGTGTATGTATATGAGTGTGTATGGTTGTATGTGTGTGTGTAAGCTTCTGTATGCATGTGTCTGTGTGTGTATACATGGTTCTGTGTCTGTGTGTGTGTGGTTCTTTGCGTGTGTATGGTTCTTTGTGTGTGTGTGTGTGTAAGCTTCTGTGTGTGTCTAAGCTGTGTGTGTGTGTATGGTTCCGTGTGTTTGCATGTATGTGTAAGCGTCTGCGTGTGTGTGTGTGTAAGCTTCTGTATGTGTGTTTGTGTGTGTGTTGCCAACCCTCACATTTTATTAGCTGAAATGGAGGCTGTGAGATTTGGTCTGATTGTGTTCCTGGCTCTAACCTATAGTAACCAGTGGATTACACTCCAGCGTCTGGTTATGTGATAGTTGTGGCAGGACAAGCTGTGAAACTGGTTTTATCACCTGATAGTTAATAAAAAGGCTGGTTAAGTGTGTGGTCTGCGGGTGATTTTTCTGTAAGCTTCTGAGGGCTGGAACAGCGAGGTTCTGACAACAAAGGAAATCACTGAAGGTTTTTGAGACGTCGTCGAGACGTGATAAGGTGCTACATCCAATGCAAGGATCATTATTATCATCATTATTATTAATATATTTTCAGCCAGCTTTTGGGGTCAGTTGGAACCCGCGTGCCCGTGATTATCTGTGGCTTTAGCATGTTGTGTGTTGGCTTGACCGTGTCCAACAGGCGAATTGACATATCAGTGAAAGATCAAAGCGCTCCTAATCATACAGGAAGTCTGCAGTGTAATAAAGCAGCTGTGGGCTGTGTTAGTAATCTGCTGGCAGATGTCAGCAGGACTCTTCACATCGAGCACCGACACAAGAATGTTAATCTCACTCATATTATTATTGCTAGGAATTGGCCACTTACAACATAGAAGAGGGCTATTTGGTCCATGGTGTCTGTGCTGGGGCTCACTCCCCCACTGGAGCTCTCTACTCTAACCCATTCCCCTGCTCTCTCTCTCTCTCTCTCTCCCCATCGTGTCTGTGCTGGGGCTCGCTCCCCCACGGAGCTCTCTACTCTAACCCATTCCCCTTCTCTCTCTCTCTCTCTCTTTCCCCATCGTGTCTGTGCTGGGGCTCGCTCCCCCACTGGAGCTCTCTACTCTAACCCCTTTCCCCTGCTCTCTCTCTCTCTCTCTCTCTCTCCCCCCATCGTGTCTGTGCTGGGGCTCGCTCCCCCACTGGAGCTCTCTACTCTAACCCCTTCCCCTGCTCTCTCTCTCTCTCTCTCTCTCTCTCTCTCTCCCCATCGTGTCTGTGCTGGTGCTCGCTCCCCCACTGGAGCTCTCTACTCTAATCCCATTAAACAGGGCAACCTGCAATGTACAATGAGATAACAAGCACTGTTGATGATGTCCTACAAAAAGCCGTGAAGTGAACGACCTGTTTTCTCTGAGGGGAATATCTTCCTTCCTGGTGTAGTGTAGGGAAAGTCTGTCCAAATGGAACGCGCTCTCTAATGAAGCGCTCAGCGGCTAGAAATGTCTCCTGGTGCTGTTTATCTACCATGATGATTTAATGTGGGAACTCGAACCCCGTTATCCGAGAACGGGAAGGCATTCGTTTCGGAGTCCGGCAGCGTAGTGGTTAGCGAGCTCGCCTGGCAAGCGGGAGGACCTGGGTTTGATTCACGGGAAGGGCAGAACACGAGGCAAGTTTCCTCACTTCACACATTCCTGTTTGACTAGCAGTAAGTTGGAACCCGGTTGTTCATCGATTATTATTATTATCATTATTATTATTTTCTTGTAAAACTCACGGTGCAACATCAACTGGATAATATTTGTGTCATGAGTGAGGTCAGACCCCTGTTTGCGGGGACGTCGCTGTGCGCAAATCGGCTGCTACATTCGCCCACAAACACAGGGTTACTGCGCTTTATGGTGAATTTGGTGAAGCGCATTGAGACGTCCTCTTGGCATGAAAGGTCCCGGGGCACGTGTAAGGATAGTTTTCTTTACGGGGGTCAATACTGTGTGATTCGTAGACGATCGCGGCAGATAGTTTGCCCAGAGCAATGCACCCGCAGACAACCGTGAGGTGAACGGCCCATTTTATCCGGGGGAATTGTTCTCCGATGTGAAAGGTGCTGGATCAAATACCCGCTCCTCCCTATTATAATAATAATAATATTAATCCTTGCCTTATCACGTCTCAAAGTGCTTCACAGAATATATTGTAAAGTGGATTCGTTTTTTTTGGGGGGGTGGGGGGTAAGAAACACGGCAGTCCTGGTTTGAGCGACCAAATTTTCTATTTTATTTTGGAGATTATTACCCCCGGAAAGCAATGCACCAATCAATTAACAGCCGGGTTCCTACTTACTGCTAGGTAAACAGAGGCGTGTGGAGTAAGGAAACTTGCCTAAGGTTTCGCCCAGATCAGGAATCGAACCCGGGTCCTCTCGCTTGCGAGGTGAGTGCTCAAACCATAACACTACAGGGACTCCTTATTGATCAAGTCTCTCTCTCCAAGTCTCTTGGAGTCATTGACTGAGTCTCTCTCTCTCTCTCGTTCTCGTTCTCAGGTAAATGTTGAAGACACAGTTGAAATGTTACCAAAATCTAGACGTGGTCTTACAATCCAGGAGATTGCTGCACTTGCCAGATCCTCTCTACACGGTGAGTTTTTGCTGGAAGAGAAACAGCCTCTCTTTTTATAAACCAGGAAGTTGTCTCTGCCTGTTTGAAGCCTCTTCTCACTCTGCTCACTCCCACCCTCGCCTGGTTCCACTGGCTCCCCATTCCCCCCTTCGCTCAGCGGGCTCCAGCCACGGCCCCGGCCCTGCCTGCCCCACCATCGGCAGTCAGGCCTTTAGCCTTTACTGCCCCCCACTTTTTGGAACATTTCACAGTCCCTTTGCCTCGCTCAATCCACGACTGTTTGCTCACAAAATGCACAGTCACTATACTCTGCAATATATCCTGTGAAGCGCTTTGAGGCATCTCAACGACATGATAAGGCACTGTATCAAATGTAAGGATTATTATACATTATTAATCTTCAAGGCCTATCTCAAGACCCTCCGCTTCAACTGCGCCTTTGGTCACCCATCTCCCTGCCCACCACCCCCCCTGATCTCAACCCCCAGCTCAGGTACAAACCCTTGACTGCCCACGCCTCGGGTTGTCCTCCCGATGTGAAAGGAGAGAGGCTTGATCAATAAGGAGTCCTGAGGTTTAGTGCTTAAAGAACCCGCCTCGCAAGCAAGAGGACCTGGGTTCGATTCCCGACAGCGCGAAACTTTGTGCGTGTTTCCTTATTCCGCACACCTCTGTTTACCCAACAGTAAGTAGGAACCTGATTGTTAGTCGATTGGTGGATTGCTTTCCGGGGGTAATATTTCCCTTCGAAATAATTTTTTTTTAAAAAAATTAATAATTTGGTCACTCAATCCACGACTGTTTGTGGGGACGCTACTGTGCGCAATTGGCTGCCGCGGTTCACCCACAAAATATACAGTCAGTTCACTTTTGAGTATAACCTGTGAAGCGCTTTACGACGACTCGAAGACGTGATAAGACGCGATATCAAATGCAAGGATTATTGTTATTATTATAAGGTGTTGTTGTTGCTCCCGTGGCCTCAGGTTTCTCGCAGGTGGTGAAGGATCACGTGACGAAGCCCACAGCCATGGCCCAGGGCCGTGTGGCTCACCTGATCGAGTGGAAAGGCTGGTGCAAACCCATGGAGTCGCCCATGACCCTGGAGATTGACTTCAGCTCCTACTCGGACCTGAGCGAGTGCGAGCAGGAGGCACGATTCGCTGCAGGTAAGAACGAACGTTCCATCAACATTGTCCGCCCACCATCAAAGCCTTCATTGCTGACATTCCTACCAATTTATGTCCAACAACAACAACAAATGGGTGGTGGGAGGGGTATATGGAGCAGGCAAATCCATGGCTAGAACCTGCAGCAGTGTTCACACTGAGAACTTGTTTGAGGCCATTTACCCCACCTCCCCCCACCCACCCCAGCAATCCCCCACTCCCCAAATACTCAGACCTTTGATCACTTTGCCGAGAGGACGAGAGGAGACACTTCCGTCCCAATCAACCTGGACTCGTTCCAAACCAAGGCCCCAGACACCAAAGGCCATTGAACTTGGAGCGTCAGCTTAGACTATGTCATTCAAAACCCCGATGTGGGGCTCGAACCCGCAATCTTCTGAGCTGACCCAGAGGCAAGAGCGCTGCTGACTGTGCCAGGCTGACAAAGTTTATCTGAAGTCCGTGGGTTTGACCCTCTGTGAAAATGAACAATCTAACTTCTTGTCTTTCACTGGTTTTGATGGAACGTCTCAGTTGAGGCTCCAGTGCAGCACTGGGTGGGGTGGGGTGTTGCATTGTCCCAACACACTCGCTGCGCTGCATTGGAGCGCTATGCGCCCCGGGACGCTACCTTGCCTGAAGCACGCTATATAAACGTGAGTTGTTGTTGTAGTTGTTGTTGGAGCGATAGCTCCAACTTAGCTTGAGCGATAGCTTGATTCCAAGTCCCGATGTGGGGGCTCGAACCCACAACCTTCTGACCTGACTCGGAGGTGAGAGCGAGAGAGAGAGAGAGAGCGCGAGAGAGAGAGAGCCCAACACACGGCTTTGTTTGGAGGTGGAACTCTCTTGTGGTTTCAGGCGTAGCGGAGCAGTTTGCCATCGCGGAGGCCAAGCTGAAGGCCTGGTCGTCGGTGGATGGTGACGATTCCAACGACGACTCGTACGATGAGGACTTCACGGTGTCCAGCGAGACCGCCCAGCCCGCCGGTAATCATAGCCTCAGCACCAACTCTGCCGGCCGGAGCCCTGACCGCTCAGGGGGTCCTCGCTGGACAAGCAGCGAGGAAATCTGGCCGTTGTGAGCGCTGTCTGGCACACCGGTCCAGCCAAGACCACCCTGTGCGGTTCTAGTTGGTTAAGCTCCGGCCGAGAGGCCCCGGGTTCTGTTACCTCAGCAAGTTTCCTGATCTCACATACACCGCGCGCCTCTGTTTACCTACCTGTCAGTAGGAACCCGGTTGCTTATCGATCGCTTTCCTGGTGGTGGGTGGGGTAAATAATCAATCCACCCCCCCACCCCCTCCCCACCCTCCCTCCCGCCAAAAAATGTAGTTGCTCAACCCATGAGTGTTTGCGGGACGTCGCTGTGCGCAATTGGCTGGTCGTTTCGTCCATAAAATACACAGTCACTCCATTTTGCAGTAATACTCCGTGAAGCGCTTTTTCATCGACGCGATAAGGCGTGATGTCAAATGCGAGTAATAATATTATTATTATGATTATTATTATTAGTTGTCGTTCTCGCTCTGACTGCAGTGTTTCTCCCGTGGTTTCAGACGGGGGCGGGCGGTACCCGGGGGCCGTGCGGGAGGCCCTGAGGGGCCGGCTTTGCCGACTGACGTTGCGCCGGGCTCCGTGCCCCGAGACGGAGAGTGACTCGTCCCAGACCGTTTCCCCCGAGACCCTATGCTCCAGCCTGTGCAGCCTGGAGGACCACCCGTTGCTGAGGTTGGAGCTGGCGTCCCCCGGGGAGCTGACGGCGAAGCTGTTCGGGCGGGTAGCGGTCACGCCGGTGGGCATGGAAACCGTGGCGGACGCACACGGCGACGGTGCCTTGGTGACGCTCTCCCAGCTGATCTGCCAGGACTCCTCGTACTCGGTGTCCTACGCCGAGTCCTGTTTCACCCCCGACGAGGATGAGATGATGTGCTGTCAGGACTACAAAACCCTGGGCAAGGAGCCGGACGGCTACGGGGGTCACCGGAAAGCGTCGGACGTGGTGTCTTCGGGGGTGGCTTCGCTGGAGGAGGGAGCGGAGGAGGAGGAGGAGGACAAGGAGGAGACTGGACATCAGTGAATGCCCATCCCACCGACCCATAGACCTTGGCATGCGTCTCTCCCTTCCCCCAGCCCCATCCCCATCCTCAACCCCCTTCCCCTTTACGATCAACCAGTCTGGTATTTTTGTAACAGACCTTAAAATCGGGGTGGGGGAAAAGAGTGGGGGGGTTGGGGTGGGGGAACGGGGGGAGACAATAACAAAACGACCACCGCAAACCAACCTGACCTTTGCACGAGTGATATGCCTGAGGTTGGCTGAGAAGGCCTGAGCGCTTCTCTCTCACGACGGTGGGAGGGTTATTGTTCTAATTATTATGATTATCTGTTGTGTTTGCATGCTTTGCCAAGAGACAAAACAAAGGAACTGATTTCAAAGCACGGCAATGCGGTTCCTTACAGCTTCGAGGTAACTTTTGGTACGGACTTTATACACTTACATGCAAACTTCGAATTTTGTCTTTCTAACCCGCTCCCCCTCCCCACTCCCGCTCTAGCCCCTGTCACCACGCTCCCTCCCCCTCCCACCCCAACACCCGCCTGCTCGTCTTTTAGTGCGTTTGAAACCACTGCGCGACTGATCTCAACCTCGTCACTCGACTGTGACTGTGACTTAATACCTACGTCCGAGATGTAAGACGCGTTTTGGTTTTGGTGGCGGGGGGGGCGGGGGGAGGGGTTGGGTGGGGGGGTAGCGCGCAAAAGAAAAGATCATTTATATAGCGGCCTTCGCGCGGGACAGTGTCTCGGAACGCTTAAACAAAAGCGAAAACCAAACATGACTGTGGAGTCCCTGCGGCGATTTGGTTAGAGCGCCCGCATCGCAAGCGAAGGGACCCGGGTTCGATTCCCGGGCGGGTTAGGGCGAAACCTTAGGCGAGTTTCCTTACTCCACACGCCCTCTGTTTACCCAGCGGTAAGTAGGAACCCGGTTGTTAGACGATTGGCGGGACACTTTCCGGGATTAAAAAAAAGCGATCCCTCCAGCATTTCTCCCACAAAACACACAGTTAATCCCTATTACAGTATATTTCGTGACGTGCTTTGAGAATTCGAACAGTTGGGGGACACTGCTGCGCACGATTGGCTGCTGTGTTTCGCCCACGAAATACACTTTACCATATTTTTTGTGAAGCGCTTTGAGACACCTCGAAGAGTCGCTATATCAAATGCAAGGATTATTATTATTACTATGATTATTATTATAAGACAGGGGATGTCTTTTTCAACAAAGAAAAAAAATTCACGTGAAAAAAAGAGAAGACAATTTCCTTTTAAACCTTCAATTTTATACCATTCAGCCTACGGAATCCGATCGAGTGATCGACTTGACCTGCCCTGTAATCTCGTCTCGAGAAATACAGGGCGAGAGCGTCTAAATCTTTTTTTTCTCTTGGATTCCCTCGATTTGAATTCTCTAATTTTGGATAAAACGAAACGGAAAAAAAAAAAATCGTTCCCGCGAACTCAGTCAAAGGGAAAGTGAAATTTATATTTTTGTATCGTCTCCGCATCTTGTGCCGCTGTACATTTCCTGCACGGGGTTCAAACAGTGCTGTGTCTGTAAAATACCTGCTTCGTTATCACTGTGTGATATAGTCTTCGAGCAAAAAGAATACTGTGGTATTTTAATGTTCTTTCAATGTCATATTATTTGACCTGGGAGAGGGTTACTTTTTTTCCTTAAAAAAAATGAATAAAAAAAGCGTTGCCTCAAGCAATTGAGTTTACCAAAAAAAATACCATCTGTACTCTCTCCTCCCTCTCCCGCTCCCCCTCTCTCCCCCCCACCCCCCACTCCGCTCCCTCCCCCCTACGATGGACATAACTGGCAGATGTGTTAAACTTCGAGGCACATTGATACGGAGGGTTAGAAGGATTGTGGGAATAGAGGGAGGGACGGAAGAAGGCGGGGAAATTGAGGTGACAGTTGTTGGCGGTGAGGTCAGGAGGGAACGGGAATTTCCATTTGCCGAGCTTCGTTCCACTCACCCCCACCACCCAACCCCTCCCGAGGGATTTTGGCCACCAGACTGCCCGCGTACACCTGTGTTCATGGCATGGGTGGTACGGTTCCCTTCGTTCCGATTGATCTCTACACTCCGTCCTGGTGTGTTGGAAGTTGCATGTGCATGAGAGAAGTCAAGGTTCACACATTGTCAGTTGTCTGTCACTGCTTTGCTTGAGAGTGTGTGTGTGTGTGTTTATGCGTGTGCGTGCGCCTGCTCTCACGGCCATGCACGTGTACGAGGGTGATCCTGCATGCTGGTGTGTATGTGTGTGTGTGTGTATGAGCGTGCGCATGAATGCTTGAGAGCGTGTGTGCATGTGCATGTGCGTGCATGCCGGGCCAATGCTCTTTGGCATGACGACAGATGGGCTGATGAGGAATGACAGTATGTTTTGCCTGAGTTCTGAATAATTCCAAGTTGCACGTTTTGCTTTGAAAAATGGCCTTTTTTTTTGTAAAAAAAAAGAATCGACAAAAAAAAACGACACTGTTTGTGGCGGAATGTGTCGGGGTTCTCCGTGACTCTGGCCTGGCCTTGGGGACTGACTGGCAGTCTTATTTCTCTCTGTTACTAGATACGTCTGTTAATATGATTAAAGGATGAATGGCCCCACTGAGTTCTCACTTCGATAATACCAGCAGTGAATTATTCATTTTCTTCTTTGTTTTTTGGGGGGTTCAGAAACCCAGGGCTGCGCTTAAGAGTACGCAAACCAGACTGAGAGTTCTGTCTCAATACCTTTGACTGTTATGAGACTCATTCTCTCTCTCTCTCTCTCTCTCACACACTCTCCACCTGGAGTTGTCCAGGTGGAGTGACAACTCCAGGTGTCACTGCTGATGACCTGGAGTGACACAGCCTTGGTTCGTCGACAGAACCTGGAAGGGCAGACCAGTCACTGGGGGCAGAGGATCCTCCCACTCAGCTCTTATTAATCCTTACAAGCCAAAGCCCTAATGGGTAGGGTGGTCCGAGCTGGACAAGCAGCAGGAAAGCTATGCACTTTTAGCTGGTTAGACCCCAGCAGTTCGCCCAACACACACTCTGGGGTCCCCAAGCCTTGGCTCTTGCCAACCTGCGCCTAATACTTTCTCAGCTTGGTTTGGAGATGCTTAAGCAACGATGGTTTTCCGCATTAGTGTCTGACCCCCCCCTAAAAAAATTACAACCTGTTCATCTAATTCTGGAGAGTATTACGCACAGGCTAGCGAGAGCTGGGGCTCGAGGGGAACTTGAGAGTTTTGGTTAAGAGTGCGGAGGGGAAGTGATGGAATTTAATCAGAAAAAAAATACACTGAGCTTGATATTCCCGCACGAGCTTCCCACTGCTTGTCTGGCTGGGATCACCCGACCCGACGGGGTTTTGGAGTTCAGGGTTAACAGGAGCTGAGTGAGAACCACCCTCTCCCCCCCCCCCCACCCCCCACCACCCCCAATTATGAGGTGCATTAAAAGTAGAAGAGGTAGGAATTTTTCTTTAAAAAGCTGCAAGCGAGGTCACTGTGAAAATTCCCTCCAATCTACTGCCCTCACTCCCATTGTAAGGTAAACCTCGGTGCTTCTCTCTTTCTCTCTCTCTCTCTGTCTTTCTCTTCTCTCCCTCTGGCTGTCTGTTTCTTTCTCTCTCTCTCTCTTTCCGAACTAACTTTCTTTTATTTCAGCCTTTGTTACAGATGTTCCCAATAAACTGCCAGTAACATTTCTTCGTTTGCTTCGAAAATCAGCAACGTGTAGAGCTTTCTGTGTTTTTTTCGCACGTGCACACACACGTGTACACATACACCTGTACACAGACACGTGTACACACACATATATGCGTAACAACATCTACAAAGTGGATTTAAAACTTAAAAACAGCTGTTATCACCCCATCCTCAAAAAGCCTTGCCTGGACCCATCTCTACTCTCAAACTGCCGCCCTATCTCCAACCTCCCCTTCCTCTCCAAGGTGCTGGAATGAGTCGTTGCTTCCCAGCTTCGCTCCTTCCTCTCCCGCCACTCCCTTCACGAACCCCTCCGATCGGGTTTCCGTGCCGCCCGCAGGACCAAACTTTGGTCAAAGTGACAAATGACATTCTGTCCACCTGCGACCAGGGCTCCCTCTGCCTCTTCGTCCTCCTTGACCTCTCTGCTGCCTTTGATACCGTTGACCACTCTATCCTCATCCACCGCCTCTCCTCTCAGCTCAACCTTCCCGGCTCTGTCCCACCTCAGTTCAGATCCCACCTCTCACACCTCTCTTTGTTTCCACAAGTGGTTTCCCCTCCAGCCCCCACACCGTCTCGTGCGGCGTTCCTCAGGTCTCTGTCCTTGGTCCCTTTCTCTTCAACCTGTACATGCTCCCGTTTGGCGACATCATCAATAGACATGGGCTCAACTTCCAAATCTATGTGGATGACACCCAACTCTCTCTCTCTCTGCCTCCACCCTCCACTCCGCCAGACATCAAGTCCTGGATGAGAGCTTTTTTCTACGATGAACAGCAACAAGACCGAGGTTCTCGTGATTGGCTCCCGTCAGCACCTCCACACTTCAGGCACTGACCACATCACCATCCAAGGATGCACCTCATTGAGCCAGACCAGAACCTTGGCATCTTGTTTGACCCTCAACTGTTCTTTCTCCCCCACATCCGTGCCATGACCTGCTCTGCCTTCCTCCACTCCCGCAATATCGCCGGCTCCACCACTGCCTCACCCCTCAGGCCGCTGAAACCCCCATTCACGCATTCGTTACATCCAGGCTCGACTACGCCAACTCCCTGCTTTTTGGCCTTCCCAAATCTTGATCATCCCAAACTCTGCAGCTCATGTCCTCTCCGAGGCTCCGTAACCCAATCTCCCCCATCCTCGCCCGGCTCCACTGGCTTCCCATTCCCCAGAGGATAGAGTTCAAAATCCTCGTCTTCCTACCCCCACTCTGATCCCAATCCCCCCCCCCAGCTCGGGTCCAAATCCCTGATTGTCCAGGGCCTTGGGATGGCCTCCCGATGTGAAAGGCATTTTGTATTGTATTTATATTGC